CTTGATCAATCAGATGCTACTAACTAATGCTCTGTCTATTCTTGACACAACCCTCGCTTCCCTCTCTTATTTGTTATTCCAAGTATATAAATGCCCATGTTGTCTCAAGTGTTGAACTTCACATTCCTCTACGCATCTTTTAAACTCTTGGATCTTTGCCAATTTGACTTTGTTACCATGCATTTTCTCTTCTACATTTAGCACATTATTAAATCACTAGAGATTAACCAAACTCCATCAATTCCTCTTAATATGTCAATCACATCTTCACAGAACTTTGATCTTCAAAGGTACCTTACTAGCATAAATAACGGTAAGATAGTACTCAATAATTCCCTAGCTTGACTTTACTATGCACCATTTGGTCAGTGCTACTTAATACATCAATCTGTGATACCCCTATATTCCAAAACATACAAATTCTGCTTCTATGCACCTTGTTAACAAAATTTCTGCTTCTACACACCCTGTTAACAAACATTCATAAAATAATTTCACTATTTCCATACCGTATTCGTATATTCACCCTTTTTAGCTTTAGTAAGCTTCGTCTCAACCACACAAGCATATTCTATTTTCCGTAACATAACTAATCTATATAATTTTTGTTGCTCAGTAAGGCTGTTTAGACCTCTAATATTCCAAGTTAAAATGAACTAATGATATAGAAAAATTTAGTCTAGAAAAATAAATGATATATAGAAAACCATGACAATAAAAATAATAGTATTTTTATCAAATAATGTAATGAAAACATTTGTTCTTGATTATGTAATTATTTTATAATTATAATAATAATAGCATATTATTATGAAAAATATATATTTATGCTGGACTTTGTTTGTATTTTAATTTTTAATATTAAACTAAACATTAATATATAGAAATAATAGTAATAATAATCTATATAATTTTTAATTTAAAAATAAATATCTTGCTTAATAAAAATGAATAAAGATAAAACATTAAATATATAAACATAAAAATAAATAATTAGGAAGAGAAAAAAATATATATCTCAAGAATTCAGTTTAGCGATAAGAAATAAGGCTATCACTTACTTTTACACTCACATTTGTACTTACATTTCACACTCACTTAATTTATTCAAACATCCTACTCACTTAAAAATTAAGTATTTAATTAATTAAATTCTTAATCAATTAAGTTGTTTTGAGATCATGTTATCAAAAGTGTCAATCAATTAATCACTTAATTAATTAAGTTTAAGTGTTGAATGCATTTATCAAACATGGTCTTAAACTTAATTGATCAAGAGCTTAATAGATTGACACTATTTGATAACGTGATCTTATAACAACTTAATTGATTGAGAACCTAATAGATTAAGTACTTATTTTTAAGTGCATTTGATAACTAAAAGTAAGATGTCTTATAAATTAAGTGTGTCTAAATGCAATTACATATGTGAGTCTAAAATAAGTGATAGGCCTATCACTTATTACTGAAGTGAATTATTGAGACTTTTTTTTTCTTCCTAATTTTTTACTTTTATGTTTAAAGATATATGTATAGACTTTTATGTTTAAAGATATATGTATATTTTTTTTTTGGCAGAACCAGAGCGCTACCTAGGTAGGATGGTACCCGATATATTGCATTTTCGTAAAAAAAAAACGAAAAAAAAAAGAAAAAAAAAAAAGAAGACTGGTAGTGCTAAAGACTCATCAAATTACATGGAAGCATATATTAAAATTACTGCAAAGAATAGCCACTAATTTCCTGTTTTAGTCACATAATCTCATCACCGTACTGTTGAATAGCAAATCAAGGATATTTGTTGGCACTCATGGCTTGCTACTTCTCCTCATGAGTGCACCGCTTTACTGATAAGCTACTCACTAAGGACGCATGTAAAAGATTATTAGTTTAGAGTTATCCTTAATGCTCACACTACCTTACTAGTGAACCTCCCATGAAGGACGCTGATCACAAGCACTAAAGACTCCCTTAAGTTGTAGGAAGTTCCTACAAATAAGCATTTTAAAGATTGAATAGAAAACTATTTAATTCTCAAATATGGGTAAGACAGTTGATCAAACTTAATGTTCCCTTTCATTCTGGCTGGTAAATTACTGAATGTTGCGAATGTTAGTGAAGATCCGGAAGAGCCCATTTTTGCCAACAAGTCTGCAGTTGTGTTTGCCTCTTTGTATATATGAACTAAACTACGTTTCAACTTTTGAAGAGGAGACCAAATTTCCTGTAAAACTGGTCGATGTCCCCAAATAAAATCACAGCTCTTTGACATTATCCAAACAATAAATATATTGTCCGTTTAAACTTGGATATGATCAAGTTGAAGCTCATAACATTTCCGCAATCCAAAAAGTTTTCCATTAATTTTAGCAATCAAACTGGAAGTTTTTTCAAGGGATTGTGTCTCGATACCCAAAAGAACCCTCGCCTTCCTTATGATAAAATAAAAACCCACACCTGAGATTCCAACCGAACCATCAGAATTCAAAACATAAAATACTGAAGCTGGTGAGGACCATGCGACTACCTTGCATGTTCACTTTGATGTTTTTTGTTCATTTTAATTAGTTTCAGTGTCTATTTTCAAATTAAAATTATATAAATTATTTTTTATTATTTCATATATTGGTGTATATTTCAATTTTTTAAAATTAAGACATGACTAATGTCCACAATTTACAATGAGGATATGCTATTATTTTTAAAATAATTACATACTAAAAAAAAATTTACTACACAAGAAAAATAAATAGTTTTACTACAGAAATTCATAATAATAATATTATTTTTCTTATCATAGTTTTTACATATAATTTATTTTTTAGACAAAATTATAAGCAAAAATCTTAATGACTTCAGATTTCAGACATCTTTTTAGTGTTAAGATTTTTATTTTTATCAAACAACACAAACTTAATTAGTTCAGTGCTTATGGTTCAGTACTTTAGTTTTCAGACTTTAGACTTCAGATAAACTCATTCAGCACTTAAACTTAATTTATTGACACTCTTTAATAACGTGATCTTATAACAACTTAATTGAATTAGAACTTAACAAATCAACAAATTAAGTACTTAATTTAAGTGCGTTCGATAACCAAACATAGTATGTCTTAATAAATTAAGTGCATCTGTGTGAATCTAAAATAAGTGATAGGTCTATCACTTATTATTGAACTGAATTATTAAGATTTTTTTTCTCTTCCTTATTATTTAGTTTTACGTTTATATTTTTGATATTTTATCTTTTATTCATTTTTATCAATTTTGGTCTGTATTTTCAAATTAAAAATTGTTTAAATTACTTTTTTATTATTTAATGTATTGGTGAATATTTTAATATAAAAAGTTAAAATATGAATAAATTTTATGATAACTATCAATTTGCCATGAGGAAATGCTATTATTGTTATAATCTCGTGATCAACAGTGATTTGAATTAATGGTTATGATCAGTAGAATAAAATAATTGTACTATAAAATGATTTGGGCTAAAATATGATTCGTGATTTTTTGCTAGTCAATCACCGTTCTTGGGCAATTCAAGATCACAAAATTTCATGCTGGTTGGGTTTTATTGGCGGGTCGGATCTTTAATTCAATTAATTAGGGTGATGGTTGATGGAGGCACGACATCGTTCCAGTTAAATTGGGGATGATGTTTGGCACGCTGAAAATTCGGAGTAGCACATGCAGAAGGAGTAGTACCGTTGAGCTGGAATTTATTTCCCGTTACTTAAGTGTACCATTTTTCATTTTCATTTTCATTTTAGCTTTATTTCCTTAAATTATTAGGTAGCTTCGCAGAAGTTTCATCTCAGAAAGGAACCTTTCTTTCTATAAAATGTAAAAATCCAGCTGGAATGATTATCAATGAACATATCATTTGGAACTTCTCCTTTCAAAAATATCTCCCCTCTGATTTCCTTATTCTCCCTAAACTCATTATTCTCCTTCTTTTTGCTTTTCTTAAACACTCTCGATCTGACCTGTGAAATCTGATTTCTCAATTTTATTTCTGAATTAATTAAAATTATAAGCCACGCCATAACATTTAGTATCCTGAGCAGGAATTCTGGACTGTGGAGTAACAAAAATGACAGAAACAAGGTAAAAAACGTAGATGCTGGGGGACCATACGAAGAAACAGGACTTACAGTTGTTAGATGGCGGAAAGGAGTAAACAGATGGAAAAACATATTCTTGAAGGCCAAAACGTTATGGAGGAAAAGATTAGCAACTGGGGGTCTTATTTGGAAACTAAAATGGATTTTCAGGTGGCACAATTCTTAGCCCTGAGTAATCAGTTTTTTTGGCTAATGAAGTGGATGAATGTGAGTTAGGAAGAGAGAAAGAATGATGCAAGTCAAGGGAAATCTCCCCTGTTACCAACGCCATCTGGAGTGCCAAAAAATCAACCTGGAGGAGGATTCTCCAACACCATGGAGGGATAAGGTGAGCAAAAACTCATAGACGATTCAACCAAGCTTAGAACTTTCAAACTTTTCTGGTGATAATCCAAGAGAGTGGATAAGAAAATGTGAAAAGTATTTCAGTAACAATATTCTTGAGGTTGATAAAATGATGCTGCGGAATTGTATTTGGATGAGAAAGCTGACATTTGGTACCAAAGTCTTAAAAGAATCAAAGAAAAAGTGATGTGGACTGAATTTGATGAAGAATTGTTGAAAAGGTTTGGAGGTAAAGGAGAAATGGATGAGATTGAAGAGTTTAACAAATTACAGCAAAAAGGCTCGGTCTTAGATTATCATGAAAATGTTGAGGAGTTAAAACCAGGTTGCTGTTAAAGATCCTAAGTTAACTGAGAGTTACTTTCTTACCAGTTCTGTCAGTGGTTTAAAGGAGGAATTAAAGCTAATGGTTAGATTACTGGAACTTCCATCCCTGATAAGGGCCTTTAAAATTTCTAAGTTTCAATTTGCCCTTAGAAACAGGAGTCAACCAGCTTCCACAGTAAGAACTTTTGGAAATACCACCAGAATGGTTGGAGGAAGTAGGCCAGAGATGAATAGTAATAGGAGGACACGGACTGAAGCTTTTAAGAAAGTAGCTCCCCAAGAGATTCAGTACATGAGAAACAATAACTTCTGTTGGAAATTTGGGGATCAATGGGGACCAGGCCATCTATGCAAAATGAAGCAAGTTAATATGATTGTGGCAGAAGAAGGAGATGATGTGGGTGATTTCTATCTGATAGGAGAAGAAATTGAAGATGCTGGAGTGATAGAGGAGATTACTAAAGCTCAACTGCATGCTATAACTCAACTTGAAGATTGTTGTGCTTTACGGGATGAGAAAAGGAAATTGATAGTCATTTTGGGTTACATTGGAGACATTCTGATCAAGATATTAATTGATACTGGAGCTGCCAAAAGTTTTCTTGACAGTAGGGCTGGCCAAAAAATCGGGATTACCTTCTAAAACAGTTAAACCATTTGTTCTTACAGTGGTAGATGGCCACAAGGTTAGAAATGATCAAGTGTGCCTTGGGACACAATGGACTATACAACAGCATCACTTCAAGTTTGATTTGAAGCTTTTGGAGCTTGGAGGATGGGATTTAATTTTAGGTACCGATTGGATGCATGCACTACTTCAATCCAATAGTATTTGATTTCGATCAGTTCACTGTACAATTCCATAGAAGGGGAGAAAGATTTAAGAGGACAACCCTTAGATGCATTTGATAGAAGAGAAGAGGAGTACAGAAGAAGGCTATACGAAAGAAGAAGGAGAAATATGAGTTTTGGAGAGAGGCACAATTGGAGGAACATGAAAGATGGCTTCATCTGGAGAAAAAAAGGAGGATGAGGTTGAATTATTTGGAAGAAGATGAATTTGAGAATGCAGGAATCTTGGCTGCTGTACCAGTGGAAGCTATTCCAAAAGAGATCATCAGGGTTTTAGACCAATTTCCTGAGGTTTTTGCTGAGCCAACTTCACTGCCACCTGTCAGGGAGTTTGATCACCAAATCTGTCTTAAACCTAACACGATGCCTTTTAAACTGAAACCCTATAGATATCCACATGTCCATAAAGCCAAAATTGAAAAGCAGGTGGATAGCATGTTGGAAAAAGGGACTATACAGGAGAGTAAATGAACTTATGCCTCACCAGTTCTCCTTGTTCAAAAGAAAGACTCGGATTGGCGTATGTGTACAGATTATAGGAGACTTAACAGCTTGACCATCAAGAGTCGATATCCAATTCCAGTCATTGAGGAGCTTCTGGATGAGTTGTTGAATGCTAGATACTTCTCAAAGATTGATCTCAGATCGGAGTACCATGCACCAAATCAGGATGAATCCTCAAGATGTTTCAAAGACAACTTTCCAAACACATCATGGTCATTTTGAGTATCTTGTGATGTCGTTTGGATTGACAAATGCTCCGGCAACATTCCAGGGCATTAATGAATCAAATCTTCAAGCCGTATATTCGAAAGTTTGTGTTAGTCTTCTTTGATGACATACTTATTTATAGTGTCACCCTTTCTGACCAAGTTTTTCATCTTACAGTGGTATTACTTACCCTTAAAGATAATGAGCTCTATGCAAAAAAGAGTAAATGCTCTTTTGCACAGGAAACCATGGAGTACTTAGGGCATGTTATATCAAAGAAAGGTGTTGCTACGGATTCTTCCAAAGTTAAAAGCATTGTGGAGTGACCTTCCTCCAAATCTGTGAAAGAGCTCAGAGGTTTCTTAGGCCTTGCAGGTTACTATAGACAATTTGTGAAAGGATTTGGAATCATCAGTAGACCTCTTGCCAACTTGCTAAGAAAGAATGCATTCTAATGGGATGTAGGAGCTGAAAAGGCATTCTAGAACCTCAAAACTGCCTTAACCACTGTACCAGTTCACAACTTCCTGATTTTAAAGCTCCTTTTGTAGTTAAGCAAAGTTTTCTTTGCAAGAAATCAAGGTTTATCAATTTATGAAAAAGAGCTCCTAGCAATAGTGATGGTTATAACCAAATGGAAGCACTATCTCCAAAGAAACCACTTTGTGGTTAAGACAGACCATCAAGCCTTAAAATTCTTGTTAGAGCAGAAGTTAACAACACCAATGCATCACAATTAGTTAGCTAAGTTAATTGGTTTGGACTACGAGATTCAATATAAAAATGGGAAGGAAAACTTGGTTGCAGATGCCTTGTCACGCAGGAATAAGGAGAACAACCAACAGAAACCCTAACTGCCATTTCTATGGTGTTACCTGAATGGATCAAGCAAGTTGAAAGCAGTTATGAAGAAGATGAAAAGGCACATGAATTAATAGTAGCTATAACCTTTAAATCCAGGAGCAAATCCAGAGATATGGTATGTGAATGGATTGATTAAAGCAGTAAGGTAGAAACTATGTTGGTAAGAAATCTGGGATCAGAAAACTGCTTATAGAAGCCTTTCATTTCTCTCCATTAGAGGGATATTCTGGACGAAAGGCCACTCATAAGAGGCTTAAATCCATTTTTATATGGAAGGAACTCAGAAAAGAAGTGGATGAGTTTGTGAGACAGTGTGAAGTTTGTCAAGCACACAAATCTGAACACCTCCCATATCCAAGATTGTTGCAGCCACTTAACATTCCACAAACTGCTTGGAAAGAGATCTCATTGGACTTTATTGAAAAGCTACCCCCCTAAGTTGATGGTTATGACTTAGTATCGGTGGTTGTTGATAGACTCACCAAATACGTGCATTTTATTCCCCTCAAACACCCTTTTACAGCTAAGACAGTGGCTGAGATTTTGTTCAAGGAAATCGTTCGTTTGCATGGTGTTCCAAATTCAATTATTAGTGACAGAGATTGCATTTTCACGAGTCACTTCTGGAAAGCATTGTTCCAGATCATGGGAGTTAAACATCCACAAAGTGATGGACATGTGTAGAGACTAAATCAATGATTGGAATCATACCTTCGTTGTTTTTACAGTAACAGTCCTAACAACTGGTCTTCATGGTTAAGTCTTGCTGAGTGGTGGTACAATACGTCCTTTCAGTTCAGTGCCAACATGGCGCCCTTTGAAGCATTATATAGGAGCAAACCAACCAGCATTCCTTTGGGACCTTATACCTTAGTAGTTATACTGCTGAGAATATGTTGGAACAGAAAGCTAATATTCTGAAAATACTGAAGGACAACTTGGAGAAAGTTCAATTCCACATGAAATTCTATGCCGACCAGAAAAAAATTGAGAGATCCTTCAATGTGGGAGAATGGGTCTATCTGAAAATCCATCTTTATAGGCAAAATTCATTAGCTCTTCGATCTATTCTAAAGCTGTCAGTGAGATGCTATGGACCATTTAAAGTTTTGGAGAAAATAGGCAATGTGGCCTATAGACTACAACTACCAGCTCATTCCAAGATCCACCATGTATTCCATGTTTCTTTATTAAAGAAGTATGTGGGATCGGCTCCAATCACCCTAGTTGAATTGTCAGATTTGGAAGGAGATGCAGCAGCTACTCTAACTCCTGAGAAGATCTTACAACGTTGGTTCATTACCAAAGAAAATCAAGGCGTGATACAGTGGTTCATTAGTGGAAAGACATGCCAAATGAAGATGCTTCCTGGGAAGATAACACTTTTATCAGTAAGCAATTTCCAAGATTCAAGACTTGAGGACAAGTCTTATTTCAGAAGGGGACAATGTCATGCTAGTCGGATTTTATTGGTAGGTTGGATCTTTAATTCAATTAATTAGGGCGATGGCTGATGGAGACACGACATCGTTCCAGTTAAATTAGGGATAAAGTTTGGTGTGCTGAAAATTCGGAACAGCACATGCAGAAAGAGTAGTACTGTTGAACTGGAATTTATTTCCCGTAACAGGAGTTTACCATTTTCCATTTCCTTTTTTATTTTAGCTTTATTTTCTTAAATTATTAGGCAATTTCGCATAAGTTTCATATCAGAAAGGAATCTTTCTTTCTATAAAATGTTAAAATCCGACTGGAATGATTATCAATGAAAATATCATTTCGAGCTTCTCCTTTCCAAAATAGTTCCTCTCTGATTTCTTTATTCTCCCTAAATTCATTATTCTTCTCTTTTTGTTTTTCTTAAACCCTTTCGATCCGACTTCTGAAATCTGATTTCTCTATTTTATTTCCGAATTAATGAAAATTATAAGTCACGCCCTAACACAAAACCATAGTCCATAAAATCAAAACAAAAGCAACAGACCCATCATGCATTTTTTTGTGTTTCTTTCTTTCTTTATTATACTCCTACATGAACAAACCACGGTTATAATCAAGTAAAAACACACCCAAAAAAAAAAAAAAAACAGAAAAAGAAAGAGACACGTGCCGGTTGTAGGTTGAATTGACACATGGAGTAGCACAAACTTATGTAACAGGTGATCGTTTCACCCAATTTTGGAGCCTTTGGAATTTGGGGGGCCTAAAAGCCCTAGCTTTATTGTTCCCTTCCCGTTGCATGTTGTACTACTAATACTGTCAGTCCTCTCTTACTGTTTTCAAAATAGCCCAGTCATCACATTTTCACCATTTTTTTTCCTCCAACCACCTTCAGCCATTTTTTAATCTCCAGTCGGCGAGGATTTTGTGTTCTAGCAGTATTACATTGTGAAGGTAACGCCTTTCTTTTCTGGATTTTCTTTTTAAAATTTTCCTGAAATTTTTCATGGAGCGGAGGAGTGGTATGGGAACTATGAATGTAAACGGTGTTTCTCGGCCGTTGACTGAAAAATCTTGTTCCTTAGTGAAGAATGTGTATGCGTTTTTGCTTTTTTGATGTTTTGAAAAAATGGGTTGTTTGAATTTCGGTGTTTCCGGTTACAGTTCTGCTCTTCCTAATTCTTCTCTGAGTTTTGGTCGCCCGTAATTCGGAGTTGTTTGTTTGCATTTCTTACGGAATTTGAATTTGTTCTCTCGGGAATCAGGGTTTTGGCATTTGGGGGGTTTTTAGTTTTTTTTTTTTTTTTCTTTCAAAAAATCAAAATTTTTGTCCGTTCTTTGGTGAATAAAAGGGTTCGTTGACCGGTGAAACATCTGAAGTAGATACTGGAATTTCTTTAGTTTTTGCTCAGACATTTTGCATTTGCATGTGGGAGAAGTCATCAAATTGAGTAGTACCCTGCATGTGGGTTTATTGATTCTCACACTTCAGTATACTCTGCTGTTCTTTCGGTACGATTTGGTTTGTGAATCCTTTGCTCTGCCTGAATTTTATTACGAGCTTCAATGGGTGTATATGATGCTGTTTCAACAAAGTATATTTAACACTAAGAGTTTCTGATGACAGTTTTTTGTGATTCCAGGGTCGCTGAATTGAATTGTAATGGTTTGAAGAACTACTTTTCATCTTTGATACCTAAGGTAAATTCTTCCTAAGGTTCTTTAACCAAAAAAAAAAAAAAATGAAGAAATCATTGGAATGCCATATCCTATATGTTGTAGCATTCTTAAACTGAAATATTTAATGTGAATGAGGAGTCTATTATTACGTAGGCTCACCCTTCGAACTATGTGTATGTTGTTTTCTTTTGGATTGCGAAGTTCTGGATGCTTTTTTTTTTCCTTTTCATTTTCCTGATATTAATGTTATTGGCTCCTTGTACTTTATGAGGAAGATATTTTCAAAAGCTGCTTACAACTTTGAAGCACGTTTTGTTTGTCCGTTGAATTGGAAGACTGAACAGTTTTACATTCATGTTACACGAGGAACTTTTCTCTCCTTGCTCAGCTAATCACCTCTATTGGCTTTTACCTTTCCTTTGATAGAGTTGTTGCTTGTACATTTTCTTCTCAAATAAGAGTCAATTCTTTTCGCTGGCTCGGATTAATATCTGTTCCCCAATAGACTGAAGAGCATATGCAAGTTTTTCTTATGCTATTTCTGTACTGTATTTTTTGTTTTTTGTTTTTTTGGGGTCAAAACTTTGTGTATTTGTTAAAGCACTTTTTGTTGCACTTTTTATTTTTTCTATTCTTACACTAAAGAGCATGTGACATATTGATCTAACTCTTCATTGGTTGGAAGATACAGTCTCTTGTTTGGGCTTCTTGCTAGTCGAACAGGAGTGTGGTCCTTTTTTGCCGTACATTGGAACTTGACAAATGGCTTATGTTCTTATAACTGTACATGTATGGTATACTTGTGTTGTTTGAGGGTTAAAATTTGACAGAACTAGCGTGAAATTTTCAGAAATTCAACATCTGATGCATCAGATTTGAAATTTTAAGCTGTCAATCAGCAGCAGGATATTTTCCGTCGACCTCGTCATATAATTATACTGTTAAATTTATGTTTATTTTTATCTTTTCCTCTGGTTTCCTCTTGTGGTCAGATTTAGATTATGCTACGTATCATTTTGAGCAGTATACCTCTAAGTTTCTAAATTTTCCTCTGCTATCCTCGTTGCTAATCTCGTGCTTTCGTGGAAATGATATTTGCTTTGTGTTTCTTACACACAGATAACCTCAATGGTAATGACTCAATCTTTGCTTGTTTATTATGGTTTTACTAATTTAGTGCTTCTTTTGGGTGTTCATTTTTCAGGTTTTCCTTAAAATTATGGAAGAGAGCCCACCAGTTAGTGCATCCGATGGGAAAATAACCGGAATCACATTCAGTTTAGCAACTCGGGAAGAAATTGTGAGTCACTAAATTTTTTGCTGGATGGATGCCTAATTTCTCATTTATCAGTTTGAATTTGGATAATCTTTTGTCCACTTTCAAAGTGGTTTTGATTGAGTAAATTTGTTGATACCTTATGTACTAAAGAAATCAGATGATCCCTGGAGATCTTCTGACTGTCTTACGTTTTTTGCCATTATGTTAACCTAGAAAGAAAAGAATCAGATAATCATTAGAAATGTTCTGCCTGTATTATTTTCTTTTTACTATTATCTTTAGCGGACATTTTCTAAGCTCAATTGTTTTTGAGTCTATCTGAAAAATGTCAATGCATGATATTCTCTAAATAACGTAGCACCTTGTTGCCTGGGCAGTGTAAAGCATCTATTAGTGACTGTGGCATCAGCCATGCAAGCCAACTCTCGAATCCATTTCTTGGCCTGCCGCTCGAAGTTGGAAAGTGTGAATCATGTGGTACTTCTGAGCCTGGGCAGTGTGAAGGTACGCTTTGAGAATACTTTCCTTTCATTAAATTGCTTTATTATTATGGTGCATGACTCCTCTTCTATTCATTTAATGAAATTTCTTCTCAGGTCATTTTGGCTACATTGAGCTACCAATGGCAATATATCATCCTGATCATGTTGGGGAATTGAAGCAAATGTTGAGTTTGCTGTGCTTAAAGTGCTTGAAGTTTAAAAACAGAAAGGTAGAGCATCCTTAATCAGATTTAGCAGTTATGATAAACTTTCTCTCTCATTTGTGAAGGACTAATTCCTAAGACTGATCTCAAGGACTTGCTTTCATGTCTGAATGTGATATTTGTCTTCCGTGTAAATGTAGTTTGCGTCAAGTGAAATGACTATTTGATTTTCAGTTGTCATTCTCATTTTATACACTACTTTTACAAGTTTACTCTAAAGATTTTAATTGTTTCGAAAAGATTTCTGACTACAGAATTAAACAAAAAATCTGTCAGTCTAGTTAATATTGTAGGTAACAACTACTGTGTTCAATTGTGATTTTTTCATGCAAGAACAAAAGTAAAGTGATGATTCAAGAATCTTCTCTGGTTTTATTTCTTTCATTTGTCGTATGAGGATTTGCATCTTGATTTGATTCAAATCTATAATGGCTTTATACCTGCAGCTTCAGGTCAAGAATGTTGGCGTTATTGAACGGATGTTTTCGTGTTGTGAGGTAAGTATCAAATTAATATGATGATGCAAAGTCTATTTCCCCTGTTTTCTTAAATGGAGCTATCATGGTTGACCATTTGCCGTCTGTTATTAGTTCAATTACCTTATTCTTTTGATGTCTGTATTGAGAAATGAGGACGATTTAGTTAGATGGTCGATCTCCACTAGTGGCGAGGTTCTGGATTTATGTTAAGAATGAAATATATTTGTTCAACTCTCTCTCTCTCTCTCTCTCTCTCTCTCTCTCTCCCTTGTCTCTCTACTGATACTGGTGATGCTTAGAACTTTTGGCTGGGTGCTCGGGTTATTTTAAGATTTGGTTTATTTGTCAAACATTTGTTTCTCTGGCTTGTTCTCTTTTTCTCATCATCTTGACTTTTGCGTTATAGGAGGTTTCCCAAGTTGTGGTCGAAGAGGTAAAAACTCAAGAGGGTGCATGCTACCTGTTGCTGAAAGTACCATCACGAAAAAAGGTTCAGGATAATTTCTGGAGTTTCTTAGAGAAGTATGGATTTCGATACAGCAATAAGAATCACCGACCTTTGCTTCCATCTGAGGTTCGGCTGATGCAAACTTTAATACAGCTTTTAATAATCATCCTATTTGTTGCCGTTGCTTCGCCAGCTTGGATTTTTTCTTTTTCCTTATTTCATCGTCTTATCTGGATTCTGTTGAATGTGAACTTCTTGTCTGGAATCTTAAGGCAAATGCTTATGCATCAAAACTGTTTCCATGCTGGTATACGTAATTGTACGTCATATCTTTTTGAGGGAAATATTTCTATTTTAGCTTCTTGTTTAGGATCTTTTACTTGCATAATTTCAAGCTCGTAAATTGCATGCCATGAATAATTGAATTCTAAAGCTTGTATGCAAAAGTGAAGAGCACAGATTTTGCTATTGAGACATGTGCATTATAATATATATATATATATATATATATATATATATATATATAGTATTCAGACATGTGATTTTAACCCATACAAAATGTGGTTTATCTTCTTGCATACACGCCTGTACTTAATGCGGTTTTTTGCTCTCTAGTTTCTTAATGTGGTTATCTCTCTCTCTCTCTCTCTCTCTCTCTCTTGTTTGTTTTCTGATTTCTAGCCCGTTTCTTTAATAAGTTAACCCGTATCTTTCTTCTGCATGTAACTGTAACCAAGTTTTCGGTTCTTGTAACTGTAATCAACTTATTGAATTATATCAATCTCTTGCCATGAGAATTTTGCTTGCAAAATTGTAATTGTTGGTTATGCTTCTGCTTTAGTTTTTTGTACTTTAAATCGTGCAATCTGAATATAAATTTACTATGCTTGACATGCTTACCAACTACAACCAGGTGATGAGAATTCTGAAAAAAATTCCTCAAGAGACGAGAAAAAAGCTTGCAACCAAAGGGTTCTTCCCGCAAGAGGGATATGTTCTTCAGTACTTGCCCGTTCCCCCAAACTGCTTGTCGATTCCTGATATATCTGATGGAACAACTATTACGTCCAGGGTTAGGAAGTGCTTTGTTACCTTAACCTTGACACACCAATACTTTTTCTGATTTTCTTAGTTTAATAAATTTGGTTTGTCACTCTGCAGGACCATTCTATATTTCTGCTGAAAAGAGTGCTGAAACAGATAGAGGTCATCAAGAATTCGAGATCCGGAATGCCAAACTTTGAGTCACATTTAATTGAAGTCAACGAATTACAGGCTGCCATTTCAGAATATTTTCAATTCCGTGGCACTGGAAAGGTTATTGATCAGTCTATGTTTGAGTTATACTTCCTATGACAGACATTTCGTTTTCTTAATTCTACATTTTGCGGAAGTTAATGCTGTAACTGTCAAATTTACTTACTGTGGCAAGTAATTTAATGTGATCTTGGTTTGGAAATAGTTTTTGGGCCTTTTTTTTATGATTTCGGAACAATTTCTTAGGCTTCTCGAGATGTGGATGCTCGATTTGGAGTTACCAAAGAGCCTACGTCCTCTAAAGCATGGCTGGAGAAGATGAAGACTTTGTTCATCAGGAAGAGCTCAGGGTTTTCATCTCGTAGTGTGATCACTGGGGACCCATATATAGGGGTTAATCAGATTGGTCTCCCTCTTGAGATAGCACAAAAAATTACCTTTGAAGAGAGGGTCTCTAAGCACAACATCCGCTACCTTCAAAGGTTGGTTGACGAAAAGCTTTGCTTGACCTATAGGGATGGGATGTCGACCTATTCCCTGAGAGAAGGTTCAAAAGGTCATACGTTTTTAAGACCTGGTCAAGTTGTCCACAGAAGGATCATGGACGGGGATATGGTCTTCATAAACAGGCCTCCGACGACTCACAAACACTCCTTACAAGCTCTTTCAGTGTATATTCATGATGATCACACTGTGAAGATCAATCCCTTGATTTGTGGTCCTCTTAGTGCTGATTTTGATGGTGATTGTATCCACTTGTTTTATCCCCAGTCCCTTGCAGCAAGAGCAGAAGTCCTTGAGCTATTTTCAGTGGAAAAACAGCTACTTAGCTCTCACACTGGGAACTTCAACTTGCAAATGGCGGCTGACTCCTTGTTGTCACTTAAGTTGATGTTTGAAAGGTACTTTTTTGGTGGAGTTACTGCTCAGCAATTGATGATGTTTGTATCAGAGTTATTACCTGAGCCTGCTGTGATGAAATCCTGCAGCACTGGCAATATGTGGACGGTTTTGCAGATTTTACAGGCTGCATTACCTCCTTCCTTTGACTGTAGTGGGGAAAGGTACACCACCCATAGAAATGCGTTGGTGAAATTTGATTATATCAGGGATTTGTTGCAGTCAAGTTTCACGGAGATAGTTACCTCTATCTTGTTTTCAAAGGGTCCAAAGGAGGTTGTCAACTTTTTCAACTCGTTAACACCATTGCTGATGGAAAATGTGCATTCTGAAGGGTTTAGTGTTTGCTTGGAGGATTTTTGCATTCCGGAGGAGTACTATGATAATGCGCAAGTAAATTTGAGGAGTATCACACAGTTGCTTCGTGGCATGCGTTCATCGCAAAGTGAGTCACTACATCTGGAGATAAACAACCGTTTGCGAGCAGTGAGAATGCCCATGTCAAACCTGGTCCAGAGCTCATCTGCCATTGGCCTGTTGATGGATTCTAAAAGTGAGGGTGCCCTGAACAAGGTGATCCAGCAAATTGGCTTCTTAGGGATGCAGTTGTCAGACAAGGGACAGTTCTATACGAAGACGTTGATAAGTGACCTTGAGCAGCTATTTCAAAGAAAATATCCATCCAGAGGCAAGTATCCCTTTGAGGAATATGGATTTGTTAGAAGCTGTCTCTTTCATGGATTGGACCCATATCAAGAAATGATTCACTCAGTCTCTAGTAGAGAAGTTATTGTCCGTTCAAGTCGGGGTTTGACAGAACCTGGAACTTTGTTTAAAAATCTCATGGCCATTCTTCGTGATGTTGTTATTTGCTATGATGGCACAGTGAGAAATGTGTGTTCAAATTCTATCATTCAGTTTGAGTACGGAACAAATGGGTTCATGTTTAGTAATGAGTTTGGTGCTGGGGAACCTGTTGGGGTGTTGGCAGCAACAGCAATGTCCAATCCTGCATACAAGGCAGTCCTGGATTCCTCTCCAAGTAGCAACTCTTCTTGGGAAATGATGAAGGTACATTATGTGTTTTTTTTTTTTAATAATTATTGCAGTGATATTTGGATTGGTTTAATAACTTCTACACGTTAGTGCTTTCTCAGGACATACTTCTGTGTGGAGTAAATTTCAAAAATGATGTTTCTGATCGTCGTGCCATACTCTATCTGAAAGACTGTGCCTGTGGAAGGAAATTCTGCAAGGAAAATGCTGCTTATGTTGTCAAAGATCACTTGAAAAAAGTCAGCCTTCAGGATGCTGCTATGGAGCTTCTGATTGAGTAGGTCTCTTCTTTATTTTCTTTTCTGCTTTGTGATTCAGTCTCTATTCAACAACCTTATCATGCACTGGGATGTGTATGATGATGCGGTAGAAGTTCCAAAGGGAGTTTGATTTTGGAGAAGAAAAATTCTCAGCTCTCTTGGCATGCCATGGCTATATCTGTCTGTAGCATAAGAATACTAATATGGGAATATCTGTTGATATGCATGGGCTTAGCTTAGTTGACTTGCAGAGGTACTTTGCTGTTCAATATGTTTTACAGACCTGCTTTTAGAATTGTTGATGACTAACTGTGGCCCTTATTCATTTCAAAAAGAAAAATTGAGGTTCTTACTCTTGTATACCAGTTCAGTTATTTATCTCAAATTTTGTTAAATTTAAAAGTAGTTCCTTTAAAGAAAACTTACTGTTCTCATGTGCAGAAATAACTCTTCTATCTTTTCTGACAGCCATAGGAGAAAAACTTATTAAAAGCTTATCCTTTTGTATTTTGTGTGTGAATGGACAGTGGCATAGTGTTTCCATTATATTTTTGCTAAAGTAGTTACTTAACGCACTGACGCTGTCTAGTTTCTCATAATGAATACAATTTTGCTCCGAATTGTTTCAGGTACGGGGGACCATTATCATATGATAGCTCTGAAATTGATAATGGTCTTGTAGCTCACGTTCATCTCAACCAGGTGCTGTATCTTTCAAGATTGCTAGAAACATGGCTTCTTTACCTCTTGCATTTGCACATTCAACCGTGTTTCTTATCCCCATCGATTGTTGATTTATAGGAATTTATCAGAAGACATAACATTAGCATGAAGACAATTCTTTCAAAATGTGAAGACACTATTAGCTCACTGCAAAAGGGGAAGCGAACTGCCTCTAAGTTCAAGAGGGTTACTGTGCAAGTCAGGTTGGTGAATTCAAACATGGAATAGCAATTAGATTATCATACTCTGTGTCATTTTCCTGCAATGAATGATTTTTGCTACTGCCTTGGTCCCAATAAAGAGTCTGTTTATATGACTCAATTTGCAGTTGCATAATAATCAGTTATACGATATGGAAAATTACCTTTTCACCAAAACCAATTTACTATTAAATTTGAATTTGGGTGCCATGTTATAAATTTTTCTGTTATCTAGCTCTATTGGTGCAATGAGTCATTGTCTCTAGATATTGGACTTTTCCTAGTGAAACTCCTCTCTTGGGACTGTGGGGATAGTAATATGAGCTAAATTGATGGCTACAATCATTGCTCATTCAGCTTTTCCCACTGCTTTTGTTAAACTTGGTATTATGCCATAGCAATTTTGGCAATTGCAAGATATTTACTTGTGATTCTTACTTGTTTGCAGTGAATATTGTTCATTCCAGCAATCTTCCAATGGTAGTCCAGTTCCATGTTTGACTATTTTGCAAGGGGCAAGTGGTAGTGATCTCGTAGATCAAACTTCGCATGACCTTGCTGAAGTGATATGCCCACCGTTGTTGGAAACCGTTCTCAAAGGTATGTTCTGAGTTTCCATTTATTCCTTGACCCCGAACAGTTAAAGGCCTTTTCTTGTGGTTGGAGACACGTATGTTTGTGTCCTTTCTTGGGTGACTATGCATTTCTATATACCTTGTTACTGACTCATTCCTGAAATGAATATTAAGAACTTATCCCGTAAGTGACAGATATGTGTGCACATAAATTAGTGTGTGTTTGGTATAATTATAGAGTAAAAATTTCGAAGTATGTTCGTAAATATGTGTGTTTGCATATACCTGAATGTGGCCACACACACACACACACACACACAAACACAAACACACACACACAGCTGCAGTTATTCATATTGGCAGTTACCTGCTCTGTTCTTGTTGTTGTCTCCCGTTTGAGAAGAACACAAAAAAAGAACAACAAATAGAGACTCATTTCTAGGCTTATGCATTTTTTGTAGTCGTTTCATGTCTTTGTTATTTTTCTTTCTTGAAAATGATCATATTTATGTCCTGGAATCTATATTCTGACACACAAACTGAAAGGAAGCTCATCAACTTCTGCACCCGTAGGGTCTTGGAAGATGTTGGACCATTAAGACCGAATGTAAGCAGCCTTACCTTATGTTTCTGTAAGACGCTGCTTCCCCAACTCTAACCTTTCAGAGGAGGCCGAACAGCTTTTGTTGCTGCATCAAGGCTTTCCTTCTGTATATGAACAAATAACAAATTTGAAAGTCTATGAGTGCGGAATGACATCTAACTTTTTAATTTTCTTAACTGGGGTCGATGAATGTTCTCATGTTCCATACGACTTCAACTCTTAACTGGTTTCAGCTTTTGTTGCTGCACCAAGGCTTTCCTTCTGTATTTGAACAGATAACAAATTTGAGTGTCTATGAGTGCGGAATGACATCTAATTTTTTAATCTTCTTAACTGGGGTCAATGAATGTTCTCATGTTCCTGAGGCCCTGAGGCGATGGTAGCGTAATACGACTACTTCAACTTGATATTTCAGATTGACTTCAGTCTCACTACAATACAAGCCAATGTCCTTTCTAGATCTATATATATGATCTTGACTTGGAGATAACAGGCTTGTTTATTAGTACACAAAGGTGACTGATTTTTCTCCACATTTGTTGAATAACAGGTGATCCAAGGGTCTCTGCAGCTAACATAATCTGGGTTAATTCTGATACACCAACTTGGATAAGAAGTCCAACCAAAAGCCAGAAGGGTGAACTGGCTTTGGATGTTATTCTTGAGAAGCATGCAGTGAAAAAGACTGGTGATGCTTGGAGGGTTGTTATGGATTCTTGCATACCTGTCATGCATTTGATTGACTCCAACCGTTCTATTCCATATGCTATAAAACAAGTTCAAGAATTGCTTGGGATATCTTGTGCTTTTGAACAGGCTGTCCAGGTGCTCCTTTGATTCTCTGTAATTCTCTCTGTCCACATTCATCCTTTTGATTTAGTATCGTTATGTACAAATGGCCACACATTCAAGTCTCTTGAACTTACCGTAATCTCCACATGCACCTTTTCATTTGGTCAGACCGTATTCTGTCTCTTGATTTTTTTGTTTTTTTTTTGTTCACCCTAAAATGTCTACATATGCTACAAAAATTTTGAATCTAAGTAGTGTGTATTCAGTTTAGGATTAACCACGGCTGCTGATGACTGAAAAAAGTACTTACAGTTTCCTACCCTCGTAGTCACTTTTGGTTGCTGTCCTTTTGAAAATTGTCACTCGCTTTAGTCTAGATTTGACATGCACTTTTTTTCATGTAGCTTATATGTTATGGATGCACTTAGGGTCTGGAACGAAGGCAGTTAGAATGATAAAATAATTGTGAAAAATCTTAATGGGATGGTAAAAAAATCCATCATAATAAAGGTTGAATACCTAACCAGAATCCTTTTCAGGCTTATTCTATATGTACCTTTTTTGACAAGAGAGCAAATTAGCTAGCTCGTTTTCTTTATTGATGGTTACTGCTAGTTGATTTTTTCTGCATCATTTTGTTGCCTCAGCGTCTTTGGTGTGCTATATATTCTTTGAAATATGTTATGATGAGTTGGCTTGTTTACAGCGCTTATCAACCTCGGTTACGATGGTTACAAGAGGGGTTCTGAAAGACCATCTTGTGCTATTGGGTAATAGTATGACATATGGTGGTAATTTGATTGGCTTCAATATTGGCGGTATAAAAGCATTGTCACGATCACTAAATGTGCAAGTCCCTTTCATGGAAGCCACGTTGTCTGTAAGAACTAATTCATTCCTCAGAAGATTTAGTTTCCATCCTTTCAGTAGCATGCCTTTCACTAATAATACACGTCTAAACTTAACAGGCTCCCAGGAGATGTTTTGAAAGAGCTGCTGAAAAGCAGCATGTTGATTCTCTTTCTAGTGTTGTGGCCTCCTGTGCATGGGGCAAGCAGGTGGCTGTGGGCACAGGATCTGCATTTGACCTTATTCTGGACACGAGAAAGGTTTTTATCACACTAGCTTTTCCTTATTGAATACTGAGGGAAATGGGCTATATACCTTTGGTTGCCTTGAGAACTAAGTTGAATTTGCTTAATGGATGTATTTGAATGTCTTTGCTAGTATTGGCATGTTTCTTTGCATTCTCTTTTGGTTGCTTAGTAGAACTGATTTGCTAAGTACTGTCAAATTACTGTCCCTGTAGATGTTAGTTTTATGTGCTGCTATACCAACTGATATGCAATAATGCCTTGATATCTAGGTTGAACTAAGTGAAGCATGTGGCACAGATGTGTATGATTTTCTCCAGTTAGTAGGTGGTGGCTTTGCTGCAGAAGAAACTAACACAGGTTGTCTTGGTGCTGAAATCGAGAATCTGGATATGGAAGATGAAGCAATGGATGGTGACCTTTCTCCTGTTCGAGACTCTGACAAACCAACTTTTGAGGATATTCTTGAGTTGGATGGTAACTCAGACGAACATGATTGGAAGGGGGATCCACCTCAAACCACTCAATCGAGTGGTGGTTGGGAACAGGCAAATAAAGGCCAGAGTGGTGGTTGGGAACAGGCGAAGAAGAGCGAGAGTGGTGGTTGGGAACAGGCAAAGAAGAGCGAGAGTGGTGGTTGGGAACAGGCTAAGAAAGCCCAAGGTGATGGAGGAACCACTAGAGCATCAGATTCAGCTTGGTCTGCTTGGGGTGATCGTGCAGGAGTCAAGGAAACAGGTTTCTCTAACGCAGAGAGTGGTGGTTGGGAACATGCAAAGAAAGGCCACAGTAATGGAGTATCAACTAGAGCATCAGATTTAGCTGGGTCTTCTTGGGGTGTTGTTCAAGGAGACAAGGAAACAGTCTTTTCTAACACCTCGAATAGTGGTTGGGAACAGGCGAAGAAGGACGAGGGTGGTGGTTGGGAACAGCCGAAGAAGGACGAGGGTGGTGGTTGGGAGCAGGCGAAGAAGGGCGAGGGTGGTGGTTGGGAACAGTTAAAGAAAGGCCAAAGTAATGGAGTAACCACAACAGAGTCTAATGTACCTTGGTCTGCTTGGGGTGCTGGTGCTGGGGACAAGGAAACAGGTTTCCCTAGCACAGTGAAAGATGATACTCTTAGCTTTGATCAATGGAATGTAGAAAAAACTGAAAAAAGCTGGAAGAAATCAGGTTCTTTTGTTGGGGGAAAAATGGCGGACTCTGACACAGATTCTCTTCATGCTGTCAAAAGTTGTGGCAACTGGGAGGCTGCCTCCAACAAAGCACAAGGCATTGGGATAAGTAGCAGAGCATCGGACTCTACTAAGTCCTGTTGGGGTCCAGCTGCTACCGAAGCTCTCCATCAAACTTCTGCGAAATATGATGATGAATGGGGCTCCAAGAAACCTCCAAGTACTGGCAAGCAATTAGAGTCTTCATCTGCCTGGGGGAAGAAATTCGATACTCAAGAAAATTCATCTTCAATAGACAAGTCCACTGGAGGATGGGACCAGAAAAATGGACCAGGAAAAGCTGGTGAAGATGATACGGCAGCATCAAGTTCAGGCTGGTCCACTTGGGGTGGCCGTCAGTTAAAGGAAGATAACTTTTCAACTAAGCGACAACAAAGTTTTCCCAGCCATGATCGGTGCAGCATAGAGGAACCTCAAAGCGCTAGCAACCAAATCGGAACATCAGTTGGGGAGCTAACATTTAATTCTGAGATAAATTCCACTCTTGGATGTTGGGAACGGGAAACTGACAAAGGCCTGAATGTTGAAACTCAAAGATCAGCAACAGACTCTTGGTCCAGTTGGGGACAAGGTGCCAGCAAGCAGTCATCTTCATCTGCTTGGGAGAAAAAGATTCATAACAAGAGGGATTCACCTACAACAGCCAAAGGTGGTGGAAGTTGGAAACAGGCAGCTGATGAAGTCCATGATGTTGCGACGCAAACAATAGCTGCAGATTCAGCATGTTCCAGTTGGGGAGATGGCAAGTCTAAAACTGAAGATGAATTCTCAAAGTGTGCACGAGGAGCTTCCACCGGTTCTCCTGAGTGGGGTGCAAAGGAATCACCTAAAGAGGGTGGATCTTCTTGGGGCAAAAGGGTTTCTGCGAGTGATACGTGGAGTAAGAAGAATGAACATCAAAGTAGATGGTCAAAAGGGGATGCAAAGAAGGATGACCATCAAAGTAAATGGTCAAAAGGGGATGCAAATAGAAGTCGTCAAAGTTGGGGTTCTTCCAGTCGTGGAGAATGGAAAAACAAGAGCAACCCTCCTAATAAGGTTATGGACAATTTTAAGGCGGGTGGCATGTTCACACTAACAAGGCAGAGGCTTGACCAATTCACAGTGGAGGAGCAGGAGGTTCTTTCTGATGCTGAACAGATAATCCAGAATATCCGAAGGATAATGCATCAAACAGGGTAAGTAACTGATACATTCTGATGGATTATTTGGTTCCTAAAGTTTTGATGACTTGAGAAATTGGTTCCTAGGTTCAATCATTCTGGGTTATTGACAAGATTATGGAATTAAATTCTTTATGCCCATGAGGGATGTAAAAAATGAAAAAGCTTTTATGAGAGCTGGAATTCATGGATTAATTTCCTTAGGTATCTTTTTGAAGGATACATGCAGACTATTTTGCATGTATCTTCTCGCTTTCACAAATCTTGCCACAGATGGACAAGTTTGGACAATCCTCTTAGTTTTCTTCTAACGTTGCTGTATTCCTTGTGATGATATCTCTTGAACGATGTGCTTATTAACTTATTAGGAAATGCAACTGCAATTGGTATAGATACAATGTTGGAAGTAACCTTGTTGGAGCTCGAAGCTGCAGGATACATATTTTTTCGTGTCATTTGTAAAAGTAACTTTGATAGAGATTGGTTTGACTACTTCTGAACTTGTATCTTTGTCTCATATCTAGCTGATGATAAGCTTCTGACTTTGGTAAAGGTACAATGATGGTGATCTCCTGTCTCCTGAGGATCAGTCATATGTTTGTGATTATGTGCTCAGTCACCATCCAGACAAAGCATCGAAGATTGGAGCTGGAATCCAACACATTATGGTATGCCATAGATCTCATATTTGCTTTTGGAGTCAGATTTATTTTTTGTTAGAATAATGTACCTATGGAAGCAGGGGGAAAAAAAAGACAGCTTCTTGAATATCGGCATCTAGTTAGGGTGATGACCTGACAGGCAGAAGCTTAAGCATGGTTATGACTTAATAAATTACATTAAGCATCAAACCAAGTTTCAATACCTACCTATGATCAAAATTATACATGTCATTTCTGCTATGGAGTAGTACCGGTGGTAAATATCTAGATAAAAATTGGCAGCTACCTGCGAAGAGTCATAGCTTTTATGATGAAATTCCAGCAGTCTGCATATTTCTTCAAATCTTTTTCTTTTTGTCCTACATCCTGTTGGCTTTACATCACTGTGCGGAGAGGCATTTTATTGTTAGATGAATAGCTCAGTTCCTTGTGCAGATTTATCTTTAGCACTTGCGAGAAGATCAGTTCTTCATAGTCTATTATATATTTATTCTCTGCTTAGCATAAAGGGTGTGGCTTTGTCGAACTTAACTCATTTCTTCTCTGCTTTGGTAAGATTAGACTGGTTGCTATTCCGATTACTTTAGAAAGCCAAACATGTCCATTCTACAAAAGTTAATGAATCTTTCACTCTCAAAGAGTTCTATGTTACCAAATAGGCATTTCTATGTGGGGTGACATTGTAACCTGTCTGACTGATATTCAACACATTAATGACAGTAGTGTTTACTTCTGGTCTTTGGTTTGATTAATTTCTGGCTCAAGCAATGATTCCTTTATGCTAAAATTTAACTGTAAGTTCTAATCGTATGATTTATTTTTGCCCATTGAAAACATTATGGTGGTAATTATGATGTTTTGTTGTTTGGCTGTTCAAGTGTGCAGTAACAAGGGACGATACGAAATACTACTTTGCATTCGAGCTATTTCCTGTTGTGACTTTATGATCATTTCTCTGATCAAATCATGTTGTGTCCTAAAAGTTTCGGAGTTTTGCTAACCTGTTTTCATATTTTAGATTGCTCAGTATCTTTTTCCAATACTGTGATGTATGCTTTCCCATGTACCTAACTTCAGGTGGGTTAACTACATTACAGGTTGACAAACACACCAATTTCCAGGATACAAGGTGCTTCTTTGTTGTCTCTACTGATAATCAGAAGCAGGATTTCTCGTACCGCAAAAGTCTGGAGAACTATATCAAAGGCAAGTATCCTGACAAGGCGGAAGCCTTTCTGGGAAAGTACTTCAAACGGACTCAACCTCGCACTGGATCGACCCAAGAGAGTCCTACTGAAACTGGAACTCTGGGAGAAGGACAGTAGTTCCCTTTCTAACATCTGACCCCGCAACTCAGAAGATTAGGAAATTTACTGCTCCTTTTTGCCCTTTTGGAGCGGTTTGTGAAGCTTACGTAGCAGCTTTTGAGTGAACGCCATAGCATCTGAATGCTGATGGATGATCTTTACCTTTTGGCAGAATTCTTGTACAGAGCTGTACAGAGAGATATGAAGATGAACAGCATCAATCATTAACTATATTAGGTATCTTATTCCCCCCATCATTGGGATGGAAGTCTTTGGAGTTTGAGCTTTATGGGATTCATTCCTTCGGTTCAAAACTGTAATTGAAGTTACTAAACCATATCAAATTAAACAGCAAAGTTACCCGCGGGAGTATCAAACTTGTTCTGTTTTATGTTTCTTTCTCTTTTTGATACCTGCCAGCCCCGCGACTCACTTTCGTATTGATTTGAACAACTAATTGAACTACTTATTATCTGTGTAACAAATACCATATTTGAAGCCTCAGATTAGTTGGGACAAGGCCAATTTGTAATATGAACTAGCTGCAACATCCTTGAGGAGCAAACTGATGTGGATTCAATTTTTCCAAAGAACATCTCGTACACCTGGATTACATTTAAGATCAGTTTAAACTGTTTGATGAAACGTTCTGTAGATTGATTTTGTTCATGGATTATCATTTCGGTATAAAAGGGAGTAAAACGAATTAAGTAAAATCAAACAGCCACGTGGTTACTGGATGAATAAGTAAACCACTGCACTGGATGAACAACGATTCAATCTCCGGACAAGAATGTTTAAGTTTTCTTTTTAACTCCGATAGTCAAAATCACAAACGTGACACTAACATCGCACCATCATTTTCAAATAGTTGTAATCATGGTACAAAAAGATACGCTACTCATACACACCTCGACCCTACAGCTGGGACTAACAACAATACAGAGTGGGATGTCACAATTCCATCCCTTGACCGAATTCTTCAATTGTCTTCGTCGCAAGTGTAAGAACGTCAACAAAAGCACTGAATGAAGCCCTCAAAAATCTTGCCTCTGTCGCCTTGAAATGCCTGCGCAAAAGAAAATAGGTAAATCCAACAATGCATTACGAACAATGGAACATTTTGACTTCCTCAGTTTTATTCTTTCCACATTCTCAACCTCCTCTTTTCATTATAAAAAACTAGAGTTCAACTATGTTAGGAACTCACTAAAAAATAGAGGTTAATAACTGATCTGGCTAGCCTAGCCTCAGAAATCCAGAGGTTTATAATCCAGACAATTTCAAAAAACGAAGATCTTTAGCTTTGGAAAGAGATCAGAGCATACACAAAAAGCTTTCCATCGGCTACAGACATTTCTCGTTTCACTTTGTCAGGCTGCAACTGCAAGAGAAAGGAAAAGGATCAGTCAGATCAGAGGAAAATATGAACAAAAAGAACAGAGGTGTGATAACTGACAATTAAGTACCTCCTTATCCACAGCCAATGATGAGCAGACAATATTTGCTTTTCTCTCGGATTGAAAATTCACTTCCAAGTCACTGCAAACACCAATGTTTTCCAAACGTTAAAAAGTCAGCAAACACCTCATGCCATTTATTCATTCTTGAATTCCATTTTAAGATAAATTTCCATGGACCGCTCCATGGGCTTAAAAAAGGAATCAAAGAGAATTATACAGCATAAAATGAATGCAAGGAACATTTCTCCATAGTCCAATGGGATCTAAAGGTATCCTTTTGAAGATTTCACGCAATACCAATTATATGAAAGCATCCTTTAACAATCCTACCATAGGCAACAACTACACTTATCATGCTCTTCTGCAAGACCATCTTCTGTTTGCTCAAAAGATTATAGATTCTTGCACTGCTTTTATGGAAAATTTATTTCAGTTGCGTATTACAGTTACCTAGTCAACACAATCTCCTCATATAATACACCCACACATGTCAAAGAACTAAATAAGTAAAACATCAAATTTGAAATAGTGCAGAAATCGAAGAAGCACTCCATTTATTAATCCCTTTAAAAACGTACAACCATAATGGACAAACCCCCACATATAACTTTCTTCCTCCGGGTCCTGACATAACCCATGAAAAACATAACGTTCGATGCATGTCTGCTTTCACAATTGAAACCACAAATAACGCTTCACTTGATAGATCACATGAACAAAAATCTCCATAACATGAAGTCAAAATCAAGATTCAGTAACTGCATAACTGACACCAATGTAATTCGGTATTCCTCTTTTATACTCTAGAACACTAACCACAACCCTCTTATACTCTAGCTTAAAGCATAAAAGCTACTGTGAAATATTAGAACAATTGTAGAATCAGCCTAATCCTTGTTAAGTCGATATTAAAAATGGTGGAACAAAAATGAGAACTCCACTTAGAGTTCCCTAAATCATCTAAATCAGAATCATTCAGAAGAAACACAATTCTCCCATTTTTTCAAGCACATGGTGCAAATGTAAGATACTCCATAACAAGTAAACTACAGAGCGCTCAATTGGCATCCAGAACAAACGGCTAAATTGTGTTTAATGCATATTCTATTCACACAACAATTCACCAAACTCACAGACCGTTTCGGAATTTTTAAATGGTCAAAGTTTCAAATATAACCTACAAAAAAAAAAAAAAACAAAATTGACAGAAATAGTTCATTGAACGCTGAAATTTACACCAACTGATACAGGAGTCGTGGATAAAACACATAAAAGACGAACCCTGTCAATGCTGAATAAACCATACTGTAAACAGAACAAGACATTAATTGCAATTTGCAAACAATTATTAAGGAAAATTGTTCGAAATAATTGGTGGAGAAGAGGGAGACTGACCAGCTGAATTCCCATTTGGACTGGTCGAGTGTAGGATTGTTGGAAACGTCCGTCATCGTCGGAACGGAGGCTTGAGCTCAAAGCAATTTCCGATGGCCACCGGCGATGGCGTTCAGAGTAAATTCTAGTATACTGGCTGCGGGGGCTTGAGAAAATTGAAGGATGATAATTCGGGGAAGGGTTTATGGAGGAAATAGGGAAGGGAAAACGGTAAAAATAAACAGTAAACAGTAATAAAAAATAAGTTGATTCTCCTTTCAGTTAAAGCTTTTTTTAACGGGTTTCAAATTTCAATAAACAACCAACAAAAACCCCCTTTTTTCCTTAAACCCAAAAACTTGTTCTGAAAATTGCGATTTGTATGTGATTCAGCCATGGGCGACGACGATGAGAGCAAAACGATTCGAATTCTTTGCCGCAAATTCATCCTCCCAAAATTCGATGATCATCTTCAACCCACAGACGCACAAATTCAATGGTTAATCGGTTCTTCATTCTTCCCATCGCATACAATCATCTCCACTCTCCGATGCATTCACACTCTCCCTTCCGATCCCAGCATTCCAGATTTTGCCAAAGAGTCAGGTTAGTTCCTTATTTTTTTTCTTCCTTTTTTCCGAATACAGGCCTCCAATCATTTTATGAAGCAAATTTTGCTTCTTTTTTTTTTTTTTCCCGGTTAGTTAGTTTTCTGTGAACTGAATGGTTTGAAGATGTATTTTACTTTGTTCAGAGATTTTTAATTACTGTTGCATCGTTTGTGGATTTTTGTTCAATTATGCTGAGGTACAACTTTTGGAGCTTGATGTACTATTTTAGGATATGAACTCTATTAGTTTTTGTAAGCCGCGCCATACAACTTGTATACGCGGTACTACAGTACTTCTGTGAGAACCAGGGTCAAGGAAGTATGCTGTCCTGGTAATTTCTGTGGATGCGGTAACCATGGACCGCTGTGCATAACATTACTAAAGATTATCTATAACTATTAAAATTCTGATTAAATATGAAACTAATTGTTGTTGTGGAATGTACTAACGAAGTATCTTATGCACATGTTTGGATTTTCTAAGCAGATGTAATTCAATTATATCCTATGCGTCAATGTATGTATATGCGATCTAAAAAGTTCTTGTTATTCAGTTTTCTTATTGTCATGGAAAACATGAATTTCTGACTTAGCATTCTTAGGTCGGTGTTTTTCATGAACTAATATTAGATTTCGTGACCAGATGATATTGAGACGCTGGTTCCAAAGGGATTTGAGGTGATAGGAGCCTTGATTACAAAGCGTGATACAGATTTTGAGAATTTGGCTTGTGAGGCAGTTGATGCTGTTCTTAAGCTGAGGAAGTTACTGTATAAGGATACTGGTAAAGCTTCTGGGGATCTTCAGCTCGTTGGAGGTGCTGTGGACTTGGAGAATGGAGGTGACATCAGGTTTTATGTTTCTATGATTGGAGATCCTCAAACTATAGAAAGTGTGTCTTCAGTAGTATATGAAGAGCAACCTGAGAAATATTTACGTGAGAGAGGTTGTATGCTACAGTGTCAGCTTCTGTTGAAGTTGCCAGTTTATTTTCCTGCAGAAAATCCAAAGGGTAAAGTTTTATCTTTTGCAGTGATTATTTTCAGTATGGGCAATTTGTTTTTGTTGGACAGTGGCATGCATGTCTACCAGTCCTCTTATAAATTTTGTGTTAGTATTATGATCATACAGCTTGTTTGATTTATTTCGCTTATGTCATTAGCATTATAGAAATTTGCCCCATAAAATTTTCAAATACGCACAGTGCAATCCAGCATGAAATGCTGAGTAGGCCAACATGTTTTTTTCTAGCGGAAGTATATCTGTAGTCGTCTCAACCAAACAGAGTTAGAACTACCATCTGGTGTGCCTAATAGGCTTCGTGAAATTCTATGTCATAGCCACTAAAGCTGGGAAAACTCTGTAATAAAGTGATGTACTTAAATGCTATTCATCTAGAGAGGAGACTCTAACAAGCTAAAAGTTCTGTGACCTTAAATGTGTATCATCATGTGTGAGTGGATGTATAGATTGATCTCCAAAGGTGAGGGACCATGTATTGTGATCATCTCAATGTCACTTCATCGATAGATGTAATATATCATGTCCTGGGTTGTTTTATGCTTCAAATTTATTCTCAGAAAGGCAACTTGCTGGCAAGGAATTCATTGTACTCCCATACTCAAACTAGTTTGTCCAGATTTGGACAATTTTTCCATAATTGCAATCAGATTAGGAATCAAAAAGGGGAAAACAATTTCCTTAGTTCAAATGCCCCCTATTCTTTTTTAAGTAATAATCCATATTTTGAGAAAATGGATCATCCTATTAGTAATTGTACCAGATGCTGATGATAAAATTATCTGAGAAGACACAGTTTTCTTAATTTAAATGCCTCCGATCCTTTTTTATCTACTTATGATCCATATTTTGAGAAAATGGTTCATCCTATTAGTAACTGAACCAGATGTTGGTGATAAAATTATCTGAGGAGACTTTTAAAAAGTTTAGGATAGTTTTCAACTTCTGATGGCAGTTTTGTTTTGAAATCATGTTTCCTATTTGGTGCTTGCACTTGGTTGAAAGCTCATGAATAACGAGAAAGGTACTAAAAAATAGAATGAAATATATAAAGGGGCAGAGTAACGAGCTAAAAGTAAGCATGCTGAATATTTTGATTTGTATTTTAGTCTCTTTTTGTTGATCTTAATTGCTCATACGATTCAGCTAATCTTTTTCTTCAATACTAAGTAAGTTTAAATGTTTTTGGTTGTGGTAGTTTCCAGAGGCAGTCGTAAAATTAGATCTTCTTTTCATAAACTTTTGAGAGTGTAATAAAGTTTTTTTGAGTGGTGGATGTGGAAGAAACAGAATTTTTGTTGATATTATTCCTCTCTATTCTTCCCTGCAAAAAATGATTAACGTGGAGGTTAAGATTCACAGACTGACGCAAGTTTTTTTCTGAGAACCCATGAGTAATTGAGTGACTGTTAGATTAAATAAAGATTACTTAATGTTATGAAGAAACTGTATAGGTGCATGTGCATTGAGCATTTTTTTCCAGATAATGCTTAAGGAGACATATTTGATATTTGCATATCATATCAATTTCCCTATCCTGAGATGTCCTGTACTTAGTATTTTACTTTGATGTAATCTTGTTTTGTTGTTCCATCTACGGAACTATGTACATTCTTCTTTTGATTTGTTGTTGAAATAGTATTTGCTATTTTCCTTTTTAATTGTGTTCATTTCGGGCTGGGTGCTGAAAAACTGGTTCTCTGGGTTAACGCTGACTTATGTTCAACAGATGCGGAGAACATTTACATTCGTGCGACTGAAGATGTTGCTACTAACTTGATGGATCCTCAAACTTCTTACCTTATAGAAGCTAATGAACCCTCAGCAGATGAACCGCCTCTTGTTCTCCGCAGCTCAGATTTGGATCAACAGGAAAATCCTAACATAGCTTTACAGGAATCTAGTTTGAAGACTTTAGATTGTTCCAACTTTTGTTTGAAAGGCAGGAGTATGTCTTCTACTTGGATGGAGGAGGTAAGAACAAAATTTTATGCGAAGTTCTTTTTTTTTTTCTTTTTATTTTTCAAAAGTTTAATAAATTTTCCAATTGATTTGGCAAACACTATTCTTCAGTTTTTATCTCTAACCACTTCAACACTTGGTTTACTAGTGTTTAATATGTTTAATTTTTAGAATGCAGACAGAATCCATGTGAGTATCTTCGGTAATGCATCAAGAAGCCCTACAAAACCTTCTGCCCCTATCGCTGAATTTTATCCTGGTATTGACCCCATTCTTGGATTCGTGTAGAATATGATGCTATATGATTTTCTTCCACTGTGCTTCGTCTTTTCCATTTTATTTTTCCATAGAGAATCTGAACTGATATGTTTAATAAAATTTACATCTTTATATCCTTATATCCTTCACTTCTCTCTTCCAGCTGCCGCCAACACGAAAGTTCTGGTTGTAGTTCAGAAAATGGAAGTTCTCTGTTATGCAGCGAAGGATCTTTTGTTGACATCCGCTGTTTCTAAATTGATCATTCCTGCACTTGTTTGTCAAATTCGTTCTATGAGGAACAAAATCTTGCCCAACCTTTTGACACAACATCAACAGGTTTTTGCACATACTCTGTATCTTCTTTTAATTCTGCTTTCTCCATAAAATTTAAATATCATGGATCTGGTTGGATGCTGAAGTCAACATCGATATAATGTCTTAATTTGATGTCAAATGTTTTACTTTCGCTATGTCATATTCTCAATCTCTCTATGCACTATTGTCTTATTTAAACTACTGATTTGGCATATACCTTTGATGGTAAATTATGGGGCCTAGTAACTCCTTTTTTTCCCCTCTGCAGTTACAGCCATATCACTTCGTTCCTCCAGGTTTCTTGCATCCTGTCACAGTTATGTATGAACTTAGTTATGGGGAACTGGAAATGAAGCAAGGTAATATTTTCAGAGTGTGTATATTGCCAATGCATATATTGTTCTTGATGTATAATGTTTGATGTATTAGAAGAATTCAGATTTGTTAATTTGGCATCTAGAATGGGTACTAGTAGGTTCTTGTTTTTTCATTTTTCAAAACTTGGGCTGGTTTGGAACAATATGAACCATTGAGATTTGAAACCATTGAAGATTTTAAGTGTTTGCATGTTTCATGTTTCAGTTGAAAGGCGCTTTACTGCTCTGAATTTGTAGATGCTTGCTATTTGCCTTGTGATTCCCTTTAGTGTGTGTTACATAATAACCAACAGAAGGTGCTGGTTGGTGTGATTTGTTTGACTCATAACCTGTTAAGTTCTTGCATCGAAACCATCTCCTGTTTATTTACACCAGGTGGAAACATTCCACACACCATGGACAGGGGCCTTCACACATTCCGGTTTCCCTTAAAAATACCACATAGAATGATCCTTGATTGCAAATATATCATTTTTCCTGTGGGTATCACTTGTTATTGTTAAATTCATCAACAAGCCTTTTAGAGTGTGCAGTATTATGTAAATGACCAACAGAAGATGCTGGTTGGTGTGATTTTCTGCCTTATAACCTGTTAAGTTTTTGCATTGAATCATCTCCTATTTGTTTACATCAGGTGGAATACATTCCATATATCATGGATGGGGGCCTATATACATTTCATATATCCCAATTTCCCTTAAAAATACCACATAGAATGATTTTTTATTGCAAACATATTAGCTTTCCTGTGGAATCACTTGTTATTGTTAAAATTATCAATAAGCCTTGTAAAAGAAATTCTTGCTTATAATAGATATGATGAATGTAAAAGCAATTTGGTTGTGTGTCTGTAATGAATGTAAATAATGATCTATAGATAAAGAGTGTCAGATTACCTGATACATACAAGGCTGACAAGCGAACACTCGTAGAGATGTTACTCTAGAGTTATCTGGCCAGTGCTCCAGTGTATTCTTGTTATTTTGTTTAGAACTTTTCATTTGATGATAAGTTCATACAGGGGAGATGCTGATGCTTTCTAAGGCAAAGAAAAACCCATGTGTAAATCTGGCTTATTGGAAGACAAACACGACCTTAGAACCTTAGAACTAGGACCTGCCTTGTGCCTTGGCATGCAGATAAGGTGCTTATACTGTTTAGCAGAAAATGGCTGCTACCATTGCTTATCTGACTTGGCTGAAGAAAAATTTTATAGTTGGAGGGTTAGATTTTGTCTCATTTGAAGGACTTTTTTTTTTCTCCCCCTTTTTTCCTTCTTAGTTTTAAGGAAGAACTGTTGACTTATGTCTGCCATGTATTGAACTGCATGATTTGTGAATGCCATAGGAAATGCGTTATCATAAATATAGAATTAATTTATCTGGTTGATGAATTAAAAGGTTGAAGCTTTTGATTAGAACTGATGGTTGCTTCTCAATCTTAAGTTGGGTCCTTCGGTTTTTAAAAATTTACACAGGCTTTCTTTCTTCTACCCCACAGACAGATCTTAGGAGCTGATTAATTGTTGTCTGAGAAAACGCTCTTGACTGCAACTCATAGACAGTCCTTGTTTGACTAGCGTATGGCATTGCATCATCATTGAATCGTTAAACTTTCCTTTCTATTTTATGAAACTTGTAAACTTGACATATCCTGATCCATTATAACTGAAAAGATCAGTTATCACTTGTAAGTAGAGAGATATTATTAAGGGTGAAAACATCCAGCTTTCTTTAGCTGAAGAGTATCTGGTGTGTTTTGTTTTAAATTTCGGATATGCCATCAAGATCTTCAATACCTTCCACCTCATTTTTAATTCATCTCTTTTCTTGGGCAGTTGAAGTCAGAAAATCCCTTCACGTCAGACTCGGATTGCCATTGGATCGTCCACTCTTAAGAATTGTTAATGCTGTTAACTTATTTGGGAGGAATAATTCACTGGAAAAATCTTCGAGAAAGGGTATTTCTAATGTTCAACAAGTTAAGGATTTTGTGTTAAGCCAACGCGTTGTTGCACTTACGTTATTTCATTACATTTAGGTACATCTTTGCTCAAAGATGTCCATCTTGGGATCCCAAGCAGTGGAGGTTAGTGGTTCGGTATGCTTACATGTGTGAACTGATGTTTTTTCTCACGCTTTTCCTAGCAACTTATCATAATGCATCATTGATATCTGCAGTCTCTGGAGGTACAATGTCTCTGATTCAAGGTTCCTATGAATACTATCATTACCTCCACGATGGGTTTGATGACTCGGTAACAAATGTTCCCTTAATTAACTCGATGTAGTTTTTAACTTCTGGCACCTAACCTGCCTTGTTTAAGTTTTAGCATGCGATTATGCCTAGTCAAGTTTTTTATGATGGCTTGCATGGTTTGGCACTTGGATCCACAACTTTGTTAAACTCTAGTGACCTGTGAGAAATGGTTTTTCCTGCTCAGTAGTTTATATCAATGCAAAGGTATTTGTCTCGTTAAACTCTAGTGACTTGTGAGAAATGGTTTTTCCTACTCAGTAGTTTATATTAATTCAAAGGTATTCGTATTCTGCTACAGCAGAATTGGATCTTTCAGTTCTTTCTTGCTAATGATTCATATCTGACCATTAAGTTGTTTAGAGGTTGGGCTAAAGTGCATGAACACTGGAAGTACTTCCTGATCTCGAAAACTTCTGTGTACTTGTTTTGGGATGGTGGTGAATTTCCACCAAGTTGTTGTCAACAAACGGGTTCCGATACACTTTTAATGTCCCGTTTCTATATCAATATATCAGAAAATTTTAAAATGACCTTTATCTTTATGAATTCCTTGCATTATCTAACTGCTGTATGCAGTAGAATACTTTTAAGTATGTTGTCATCTATGTGCTTGCCATATTGTTTGTGCCTGGGTAAGTAGGGAACTCCTTTTTTTTAGCCTTGCTGTTGGAATATATTTCCCCAGTCTCTTTGTTAGAGGGTGCGAACAGGTTGATGGATTAGTGGTTTGTTGGAGAGTAAGGGAGTGTTCTCCGTCATTTATAAAGTATCGTTATAAAGCCATAGGTTGACTACAGTATTTTTGTTTATGAAAATTGTTATAACTCTAAGGACAGTAACCATATCATAATTGTTTTATGATTTAATAAAGCTTTGAATGTATAAAGGTCGTGTCTTTAAAATGAGATTTCAAATAGTTGCATGAGATCTCATGATTGAGGCGCATGAGGTTTCAAGTGTTTGAAAGATGAAAGTTCTTTCACTGGGTGATTTCTGCTCATAATCTGATGTGTAGAGAACTGGTGTTGAGCTATACTACAGGTTTCTGTGAATCCTTTCAATTTTTCTAGATTTGATCTTTGTTCATCTGCTTTCATTGTTGTTACTGAGCTTTCTTCATTATGTACCTGATAAAAGTATAATATATCAGAGGACTTGTCATACTTGGTTTATCTACAATTGATTCTTTACAAAACTTGACATGGCAGGGCTGGGGTTGTGCTTATCGTTCTCTTCAAACTATTATCTCATGGTTCAGGCTTCAACATTACAGTACACTAGATGTCCCTTCCCATAGGTACCTTTACCCCTCTTTCAGTATCCCCCTTTTTCCTGTTCTTGATGTAGTGCTTAAGAAATTAGTTATATGTAGATAGTTTGCATTGGATAAGATTCCAAAATTGGCCAATATACTGGGTTTAGCATCTTGAAAAAGGAAAAAATGATACAGAACTTGAGGTTAGGTATTTGAAATAAAATAATGCATCAGTTACCATTACAGTCGGTATTTAACAAGAACAGAAATCTCCTGCGAAAACTGCCTTCACTTGCCATTAAAGAGATGTTTCTAATTAAGCTAATTGATACATGACTGAGCTCTCAAACTAAATTAAGTGGTCTCTGCAACATTCTTATAAACTTTAAAGTGGGAAATAGGAATTCCAAAATCAGAGATTGAACTGTAGAGTGTTTTTGGCTTTTAGAAAAGTAATTAGTTAAAAGTGTTTCTTAGCGAGGAAAGATTCGTGGTAGAATGAATAATATGATCAGTAAATTTTACTTTTCTTTTGACCCAAAGTTGGCTAATTTTTCGTGATGTTACTTGACTTTTTAGGGAAATACAACAGGCACTTGTAGAGATTGGAGATAAGGATCCGTCTTTCATTGGATCGCGTGAATGGATTGGAGCTATTGAATTGAGCTTTGTGCTAGACAAACTTCTTGGGGTTAGTATTGAACTCTGTTATTAGATTTGCATATTCTGAATGTAGAAAACTGATTCTGACATTCCCTTATATGTCAATTACTAGTCAATACATATATCAGCCTGTTCTAGATGGATTGGTTGCTGCAATCACCTATGCCCTCAGTAAATTAGATTTTCAGTTTAGGTTTTCCTCTGTAGCATTTCAGATATTGATATTACTCCATGGTGTGGTGGTTGTTCATCAACAGGTTAGTTGTAAAGTGATAAATGTCAGATCTGGAGCTGAACTTCCTGAGAAATGTCGAGAGCTGGCCCTGCATTTTGACACTCAAGGAACTCCTGTGATGATTGGTACTTACATGGAATTTCCACTTTCCCGTTACTATATTTACCCATGACTTCCATTTGACCTGTAATGGCAACAAGTGTTGGAAGTTCTCTTACATGAAACCTATAGCTAGCTGAACAATTTTGGCAGAAGCCTCATTTCTGACTCCATGTTGTTGCAGGTGGTGGTGTTCTTGCATATACTCTTCTAGGTGTTGATTACAACGAAGTAAATGGTGATTGCGCGTTTCTCATACTGGACCCGCACTACACCGGCACGGATGATCTCAAAAAGATAGTCAATGGTGGATGGTGCGGGTGGAAGAAGGCTGTCGATAGCAAAGGAAAGCATTTCTTCTTACATGATAAGTTTTACAATCTTCTGCTTCCCCAAAGGCCTAATATGGTCTAGTTAGCAATTGAGTTTGGAACCCCATTTTTCTTTTTAACTTTTGAACGTTAGAACACAAACATCTTATTTGAACAATGGCTTTGAGCCGTCTTCTGTATAATTATTACTCATATGGTAACATTTAACTCAGCTACGAATTTGGATAATCTTAGTGAAAACTAACCACCTGTTCAAAAATGGCTACACAAAATTGGTACGCGAGCAAAAATTAAAAGTACTACTCCTGTCCCAAACAAAAAATAAACCCCGTTAAAGATCCGGAGTTAAAGAGGCATTCACAATCTTTTGTTGACAAACTGAGAAGTATGTTTTGTTCACATTTGCCATGAGATTACCTTTTTTGCTAAATGCGTTAACTAAAAAGACAGTCGTATAATTTTTTGATGTCGTCTCTAATTTTATTTACTCTTTCTAAGACAGTTGTCCTTGGCTAGATTGATTACCAAAAAAGTGAACCCAAAACAAAAAAATTACACTAATAATACTACAATTTTGATAATTTATTCTAAATTATTCTTTTATGAAAGAGGGAGTAAATGAGAATGGTGCAAATCACGTCCCTTGTTTTTCCCCTTTTAGATGTCCTAATTGGAAGTTAGAAACTATAAAATCACTCACTCCAATTAAGAAAGTGAGTGAACCAAAAAATTTAGAGGTACATTACTAGAAATGTTTGATTTTTTTAATTTGTTGTTTTTCCTTTTGGAAATATTTAATTCAGGTCGAAAAGGTAAAAAAATTGCTAATTGCTTTACTGTCCAGGGACTAATTTTGTCATATTACAGGACTAAAGTGTCAGGTCTCGATTTCGAATCATATTTGGGACTAATTTATGCAATTTCTCGTCTATGGAAACACATTTTACCATTTTTTCTCAGTGTACAATATAGTCTTTGTAGTTTGTACTCAACCGGCGTCAATTTCTCCCGGCGATTTCAAACATTCAACTAAATATCTACGGCGCGGCTTCTCTTTTAACAGCCGGCCGAGCATCGGAAGCTCTGAAACCAACGAATTCCATTTTGGAATCCGAGACTTCCAAGCCACAATCGGCGAATTTCCCAACTAGGTAATCATTATCTTCTCCGGTCTCTGGAATTATTCACTAAATTTAGCTACATGTTTGTTTATTTTTTGTTCGGGAGAGAAAATTTTGGACGGGATTTGTTTTGTTCGGGAATTCGATATTGGCGGGAAAGGGAAATAGTATTTGTAAAATTTTTGTTGGGGAGAATTTTGGAGGGAAATGAAATTTTGAAATCGGAATCCTTAATCTTGGACTTAGTTGTTGCAAAAAATGCATTCATCTGTCGCCGCCTCCTTCCTCCCCTCATCTGAAACGTCTCTTCTCCTCTCGATCTCTCTCCTTTCGTGATTTCTTCCTCTGTTTGTTCTGAGCCCCACAAAAAAATTTTCAAAAAGAAGGGGAAAAAATTAACTCCTAATTGCCGTAATCCGGCCGTATTCGTGTTGACTCCGGTACTCCGCCACTAATCGGCGAGCCTGGGTAACGTAGATGTTGGTGTATACTAGATGGGTTTTCATGATGCACAAGTACTGAGATCCTGAAATTCTTGACCGGTTCCATCTGATTGTTAGGCTTCACCAAAAAATGGCAAATTATTATGAAATCGATGATGTTTTGGCTGAGGATGAGGTACTGATCTTTTTAATTCTTTCCATATTTAGTAGTTTTAAATTGTTGAAAAACTAACTTCATGTTGTTTTTCTTCTGCAACTTGCCTTTGGAAAAAAAAAAAAGATTGTTCCAGTTGTATTCCAACAAGCAGCAGATGGTGTTGGGCTACTTGATTCTAGTGATGATACAAACAAGGTGAATTTATGAAGTTTTCATTGCTGGACAGATGTTGGAATTCTATTATTATATTCTATAAATCTTGAATATGGATCATTTTTATTACAATCTCAGGTGGAAGCTGGTTCCAGAGTAGAATTACCCTTTTGGTTAGCACGTGATTTACACTTAAGAGGAGTTGTATCCATTGATGTCCCTCCCTACTTTAAGAAAGTGTAAAGCTCTTATCACTATGTTCTCATCTTTTTCTTCTGTTCGGGCTCCGGTTTTGTTGTACTTGTATTGCCTAGGGGAGTATGAGCATACAGTAATCCAATTTCTGAGAGAATGAGAGTCTATTCAACACAGGATTATGAGGAATGTATGCTTTTTAAATAGGATCATCCTGCAAATGTAAACGTGTATGTATTTACTTAGCCACAGTACTGATATGGTGTCGGACATAAGAAGGGTTGGTCTTGTGCCCTTAATTGTGGATGACATCCCGACATACTAATGTGAATGGCTTTGTAACTGACTCTGAACCCTCACCCTCTTTCCTTATGGGGGATTTCCAACTTGTTTAAGCATTATTTTCCTTGAGTTAGTTTAGATGAAGTATAAGCGCTCAGTTGTATCATTTGTTTTTCTTTCAGCTCTAGAACAAGGAAGGAAATTGGTGCTGATGCAGCTCATGTGGATTTAAGAAATAGATGCCAATACTTTTATGAACTAGGGCTCAAGATTGCACCACTGTAAGTTTTTAATTTGGCGCCACTGTAAATTTGTTGTCACTTTTCCTGTCAATATGGTAGTAGTCAATATGGCAGTACCCAGGCCTCTAGTCTTTGTGTAAATTGCCTTTTGAATCAGCTCTCATAATCTGTTGTTAGTGAGATTTTTCCAATTCATTAACCCCATCTGTGGGATTGGAAACTCACAATCAAGTGTTTAAAAAAGTTGTGTTCAAAGAAAAGTTATGGAATTAAGGGCTTAAATTTTTTGTGTAATTATACTGCAAAACCACTCCTCTGACATCCGAAAATAAGAAGTTTGCCAATTGATAAGCTGGAAACTGAAAAAGAGTAGAGATTTTGACAGAATGCAAAGACATTTGAAGCATGAATCTTGATTGGTTCAGCTCCCATATGCATCTTATCCTGGTTTTTTGCTTCTACGACGGTTCACATCTTCCTCTGGTTCTATTGTCATGGTTTGCCTGCGTTGACTTAAAGTTTTCCTCCAGTTTTGGGAAAATAAAATTGGATAACTTGTAGTTCATACATGTAAAAGACTATTTGTATTGAAGCTTTTGCTTATAAGATGTTATTTGTCAAAGTTAGGATAGTGTTGAAGTTAATGGTTTACTCGTCAATCTTGTCTTGTCTTGAACAGAAGTATGTTACTAACCAGACGTTATAAAGTTTTGGGTTGACACTATATGCATAAATCAGTAAACTCGGCATTCTTTTTTAATGGATAATTACTTCTGTATGTATCGATTAGGTATTCAATTATCTTAGTCTTGCATCATTGGAGCTGCAGTTTTTGCAGCCAAGAGGGTTTTTATTTACTTATTTATTTATTTTTTCATAAATTGCCAGTATTCATCTCGGCTCTGTGCCTCTGTCCAAAGCCAATTTGATAGCCTAGTCCAAACTAGCATTTGTACACACTTCATTTCTCCTCGAACCACTGTGTAAAATGAAAATGTCTTTGGTCAGGGTGCCTACCTCAGTTTTTTGAATATGGTTGATCTTATTGCAAGATTACTTGTAGAGCCATAAGAAGTGCTTTTGTTTTCCTCAGCCGGAGTCTCTCTTTCTACTGCTATCATTGTGTTGCATTGCTGTAGGTATAGAGTTGTTTAGGTAAACTGAAGTGCCGTGGTGTTCTTTTTCCTTTGACCTACTCCTTACTGGTTCTGGATTGACCCTGCTCTCTTAATCAAGAAATACTGGATTGGTACTCGTTCCTCATTCCCAAACTTGCCAAATGAAATAAATTGCTAGTTCTTTTACTGGCATAACTTGTTCTTAGTTTGATACTTAGATGAGCTCTTTTCATTGATTACAAAGGAAAAAAGAACTGAGTTCATCATTTGAACTATGATATGTCACCTCTTAAGCCAGCATTCTTCTGGATTGTAAACAAGAGTTTTGGCCAAGTTATGTTAGAGAAAACACTAATTCGTGAAAAGTGTGTGTACTCATTTTTTGGCTATTGTAGACTGTACGCTTTGTGACTGTTTTTGTTTGTCGAACAAGTTAATATACACCGCAACACACTTTTGACTAGACAGTGGATAACCAGTGGCTTAACTAATTTTTCGGGAGACCACATCATTAACTATTACTACTGATGTTGATATTTCCATTGAACAGGGTTGGTGACAAGACCATTGGACCTTTCTTGTTGGTTGCATTTCAGACTAGATATAAGGAGGTCCTCATTAAAGCACATACTGCTTCATCTGTTGTGGCTCCCAAAAACTTAGCATTCCTGACAAACGAAGAGACCAAATGTAAGATTAATAAATATAATGGTCGCTTGCGTAGTTATGTTTCTGAGCTTGCGCTTACGTGTATATCCAGTTCTCATTTCCCTTTCACATCAAAAGATTGAACCTAGTTTCTTGTATGTTTCCAGTGTACGAGGCTGGTCAATCATCCACGGCTGCATTTAAGAAGTGGCGAATGGGTGGTCCAAGGATGCAAAGAGCTTCTGTTCTTGGTAGGAAGAGGAAACCAAATGTTTAATCAGTCTCCTTGACTCCTTGTAGTTGTCGACGGATAGTCCAAGATTGTTGAGAGCTACTTCTTGTTCTTAGAAGATGAGTTTCTCGAACACTAAAACATTACCAACTACCTAAGTATTAGCAAGCGAATGTAATGGTAGCAACAAGACCTCCAAGTGATGAGAACGGTTAAAGCTTCCCCTGTCATAAATTTAGACATTTATACAGTGCCTTTTGTATTTTGTAATGTGAGCATCAGTATTTCAAAAAAATAAAATTTAAAATATGAGCATCAATATATATATATATATATATCTTAGTTTACTGTTTTTGTTAAAAATTCGATCATTTATCTGTTTTTAATAAAAAAAAGTGAAGATTATATTAAAATGGGTTGGAATTTGGAAAACGTCTAACGGCAATTGATTGACGAAGTCCGGAAGAGTAAATCTTCGGGAGGGTAGATCAGATCCCAAAACGTGCCAAGTCATGAACAACTAGAGTGTAACAAAATATTAGTATTAAACAAGAGAAACAGCTCCAATTATGTCCCGCTAAAACAACATTAAAACAATCCCAAAATTCGATTCTTTCTACTTTCTCTGTACTGTTTGGATTTGATTTTAATTTAGAATTTTTTGCTTTTAATATTAGTTTGATTTTCACTTTTTCTTTTAACAAGATTAACAACAAAATGTTTTGACCATACAATTTTGTATTAAGGTTACCAAATTTAGTCCTTTTCTGTATCTGTGATTGCCAACAAACATAATCATCTACACTAAAACAATGCAATAAAGAAAATCACACCAAGGTACAGACTCTACTGAATGTTAAGCAAAACGTTACACACTTACATTCTCTTTATACATTACTATATGTTTAACCTGTGTGTTCCACGGGTTATCCTTTTTTTTTTTTTTTACTTAGTAGGAAAAATACATGTTTCAGTCTTCATGTTTGGCAAAATGAGATGTAATAGTATAGGTGTTTCAAATTAATACAGGTGCCATTTTAAAAAAAAATATATTGTACTTGGGATTTCTCCAAACATTATGATTGGACAAGGAAATTAGTTCTTTTCATTAATTTTAGGAGTTTCTTAACATGTTGACTTCATTTTTCGTCAGTTGACCACATATTTCATCATTAAAAGTGCCAAGTCATCATTTTCTGTTTAATTAACCTTTTTTTAATGAATTTTTAATCATTTCTCATTTCCAACCATAATTTTTATTTATTAAATAAAAAAAGTGCAGCACCATCATTCTAAGGAAAAGGGTTTAATTAAATAGAAAAAAAAATGATAGCTTGACCCTTTTAATAATAAAAAATGTGATTAGCTAATGGGAAATGCAATCAACTTTTAAGAATTTCCTGAAATTAATTCAAAAAAAGGTAACCTTATACATTACACAACCCATAATATGGCCGTTTCATTGCATGAATCATGTTAATTCTCAATTAGTAAATGTAGAATGATACTAAAATAGCTCATTAGTACCTAATAATTAGAAGACAATCATAAGAAAATAAATTTTTAAAAAATCCTAAACTTTAATGATGTATAGGACAACAAAAATTTGAGTTAAGCTTCAAAAGGTACATTATGAGCCGGTGCTGAAATATTTTACAATATAATTTATATTAAGATCTTTCTGAAAAATTCTATAAATGCTGCTTAGATAAACATGGAAATGAAACAGAAACATGAATCAATTACGTAACGAAAAGAACTGGAAAAGCCAAACTAATTTTGTTTTTAATTTTGTCAAAATATAAGAATAAATATCCTTAACTCAAATTCTAAAAATGTATAACTTTATCACTGCGAATGCCTTGCCTCACATCTCATTCTTTTAATTTGTCTTTTATTAGCTATCTGATTTGAAGACACAAAAATTATAGATAAATTTCAAAGTGTGCATTAAGGAGCACACGGTTGTAAATTTTTTCAACCAATTCAAATCAAGAACCTGGTAAAAAATTTGAAAAAATATGGAAATTAGATGGTGAATGAAAGAAGAACATATATAAGTTGTCCTCTGCAATCTTATATGCTATGTTTCAATTGTCAATTCTAGTATTCAGCGAAAGGTTAGACCTAGGTTCTGTATTATGGCCCATCAGAAAAAAATTTGAAAATTTAAGTTAAAAATACGTCAACATATATAACTGAATAACCTTAGCTCAAAGTTGGTAGTTGTCAAGAAGTAGACCAATTGAAAAAATAAATGATGTAGAAGATACAATAATTTGAGTTAAATTTCAAAAGATGTTGGTAGTCGCACAATACAAATGTGGGACACGAAATGTTAATTCAACCTGTATCTGATGTTGAAGGCATGAACGGTTACTTTAGCCAACCAAGAATTGACTCAGCAGCAGGTTCGAAAAGCTCCTTAATATACCTAAAAACATCATTTAAGACAAAATATCCATTCTCAAAGAAGCAACTTTTCAGCTCTAAATGAACATCTCTTTCTCCTTGCCAATCCTATTTAACTGAAGGTGTAGGCTGATTAAGCCATTCATTCAATTCATCAAATAACACAACCTCGATATATACTGAAGCTCAACTCGCTTTGATCCGATCAAATCAACAAGCTTATGTAATCTCATATAATTTTTATTTTTTTATTTTTTGAAAAAAAAGAGCCCCAATGGAAGAAAATTAAAACCCGTGTAGCAAATAAGCAGAAGAAGCTCATCACGTAAGTTCCAGGACTATTACGCATTGCCATACTCAAAGAAAAGAAAGGGTGTTTTTTACCTGGACTTTTAGGTGACTAAAAAGTCACTTAGATTTGTACTCCGTTTCAAGATATAAGTCACTTTATAGGCTGCACGTAAACTAAGAAGACAACTAATTAGCAATTAATTTGTGTGTCAAATATCTATTTTATCCATTATTAATAGTTTTGAAATTATAACCAAGACTAGAAGAAAAATGGTTAATATTATTTATTAGGAGTAAATTTGAGAATTTCATCATTAATTTGTCTTGAAATCCTAAAACAACTTATATTTTAAAATATTTCTCCAAACCTAAAACGACCTCCATTTTGAAATGGAGGGAGTAACACTTTTAAACATGGTTGTTGCAGCGTGCATTGCGGTTGAACCCCAGAGGAAATCTATTCCTTTTGCTTGTTTCATGCAATTTTGATATTAATTGTTTTGGGTTTTTATTTTGCTTTTACTTAGTGGCGTTTTTTCTTATAAGTTTGTCGCTGTTTTTATAGGTTTCATGAAGACATGTCTGAAACTGAAGCTCTAGAGCTAAGATCATTAACTTCACTACTTTAGTATCAATTTATTGTTGTGTTCATGTATATTTTTTTTTAATACATAAATGTTACCAATTTCATTTTACCTATCACAAACGTATTGATGAAACAACACTATAGTAACATAGTTGTGCACACAAACACGCACGAAATAGTTTCATTAGATTGGAATAAACAAGTGATATTTGCATGACTGAACCGCATAAATAGTTCCTTACATCTGATCAAATTTAAATTTTGGTCTCTATATTAACATGTATAGGACATGATCTTTTACATTTCAAATCGTAATTATGGTCCATTTTTACTATTTTGATGAAAATTCCATCATGACCGCCTCAGGCCAGGGGCATTTTCAGAACACAACTTTGAAAAAGAAAAATATTAATTTGTGAATAATAAATAATAATAAAATATTTATTTAATCAATTAAATACTAAAAATAAATACAAAAATAAGAAAACTTACAGATTCTAATACTTAAAAATTAAAAAAAAATTCACTTTTTTTTGACTTTTTTACATTTGGCCATCGTTTACCCTAGTCCGTATTGCCCCGTAAACTTTTCATACCGTTTATAGCTACAATAAATAAACCCTACTAACTTACCATACCAATGAACTGCCTACAGTAAAACATTACCCCAATTTGGCGGCAAATTCCATTCGGCAGTCAGACCCCCACCGTTTACACCATCCAATGAAGTGAAATGGCATGGCATGGTAAATTCACTCCACCAAAATTAAAGTACAACCTCTCACTACTATAAATGCACACAGTGGCTTCTTCATTCTCCAAACCAACTCACCTTTCACGTTCCTTCCCCACCAGCCTCACCCTTTCCCATTCCCTCATTTCAAGCTCCTATTCCTCACAGGTCATGGCATTCAGATACACCGCCGCCTCAAAGGCAGCAGCCATCGATGTCGCCATTGCCACCGCCACAGCCCGGCCTAGGTGTCTCTGCTGAATCAAGTGTTGGAGCAAATTTCGGGTTTGGAACGAGCAATGACTACCTTCATAACCACGGAGCTGCGCACCCAAGTGGATGTCGCCTTCAAGGATTTGGCTGTGCCGCACATAATAATTTTTGCCCTCCAAGCAATGTTCACGAGGGAATTCAGAGAGCTATGGAGAAGAAGATGATTAGGGAGGAGATCATTGCTGCAGAGACTGCCCGGAGAAGAATATTAGTTAGAAGCCGAAGTGAGGGCAGAAATCAAATTGGAGAGAGAATTGGCTATGAGAGCTAGACAAAAAGGCAATGCTTATCCAATGGCACCTAGCGGGATTCCAACATTCCCGAAACATGTTCAGGGGTCTGCAGAAGAAAGATTAAGGATGCGGGCGGATGTGTTCCTGTGGAAATGAGTGCGAAACCGCAGCAATGCGATGCTGGAAATGCAAAAAGGAACGGAGTTTGGAGTTGTGATATTTGTGGAATTAGTACCACCAGCGAGCGCGGTTTATATGAGCACATCCAAGGGAAGAAACACAAGTCAAAGGAAGCTGCATTGGTGTTCTCCCTAATGAGGAACTGAAACATGTTATAGACTCGGGGGGTTAATATGTTGTGTTTCCTGTGAGCCCTCTTGGTTGAATTTCCATCTGCTAAGTATACAACAGCTGGTTGAACTCTAAATCGCTCACTTAAATTAAAACTTACGAATGCTTCTGCCTGAAAATGATCCCAACTCCTTGGACCTTGTACAGACTACAGACCCTTCATGCTTTACGCCCCCAGCTAATATACATCTTCAGGAATGTCAGACATGGTAACAGCCCACTGCAAATGTCTGTTATTTGCATGCTTCATCTCAACCCAACCACCGATTCTTGTAGTCTCATCAACCTCAGTTTCAATCATCAGCACCAGCTTTCCCTCCAATAGATCTTCCTTCTTCGATGTTCCAACCTCTAGATCATAGTCCGAATCTACAGCTCTCTCAAAATTACTTGGCCTGAAACTGTCCACAGGAAGGGTCATTGCTCCAAGATTTAATCTTTGAGTTGCCAACTTAGGCATTTTGTGCAAGCCTAACATGGAGAGTTTGGTACCTTGAGTTAACTGATAGACTCCTTGCCCAAAAAGTGTTAAAGCAACACGCAGTTCCGGAAGTTTGTTGGGATCCTAGTTCAAACACCAGTCATTTTGACTGCAACCAATGCAAATGGGTCCATCTCTAAGTTCCCCAGAAATTTAATCTTTTCACTGGTCAATAGAATTTGATTTTGAATCAATCCTCCCTCTTCTGTGGGAGGAGCTTGAACGGCGAGACGTCGTAACAGTTAAGTTTATAACATTGTAGATTACAGCTTGATCGAGATGGGGTATTAATGTTGCCTAATCTCAAACAGTTGTGTCTTGGATACGTCACTTTTTGGTGACGAGTGGAACATTTGAGAATAAGTTCAAGAGATGCCCTTCGATGGAGTGTTCCCAAGTTTCTATTTGCCTAATCTTCAGCATCTAAAGCAACTGAATGTTCGTTTTTTAAGTAGCCAAACTGTTCAAGTGAATGCAGTACCAGATTTGGAATGCAGTTCGTGTGTTAAATGGTCAGACTAGCTTAATTTTTTTGAACCGAAATACCCAAGTATGAAAAGATTGGTCCTCCGAGATAATGAGTGTTTGGGGAAGGCGAAAAATTCGTCCATGGACTGGTGGAGACACCAATTCCAGGAACTTGGAGAGTTAATACTCCAAAGTTGGAAATCTGCTGGAGAGGAAAAATCCAGGAACTTGGAGAGTCAACAATCCGAAGTTTTTTGGTTCATGGAGAGGCGAAAATTTTGTCTATCGACTGCTGGAGACAGAAATTCCCACGACTTGAAGAGTTATCAATCCAGGATTACCGAAACTTGAAGGCCTGAAGCGTGGTAAACATTGGTCCCTTTGATGTGTCTAAACTTTGCCGTTACTGAATGCAGAAAACTGCTGTTACTGGTAATGATAAGGTGAGTTTATTCCAGATATTTTTTTTCAAACCAAAAAAAAAAAAAGAAAAAAAGAAAAAAAGATTATTCTGTAAACGTTTCCAATTCAACTTAGATTCTAATTAACTTCTCTGAAGGTTGATTCGATCAAACCATGCCATATCTGTTGTTTCTGCTCAAGGAATAAACAGAGTATAACTGACTGTATGAGTACAAAAAATGAGTTCGCCATACCAATCGACCCTGACTTAATAGACGAAACCACCAGATGATGCAAAACCAAAAACTCCACCAAAATGGAAGACTTTACATACATATTCTAAATCGAACGGGAGGGGGAACATAGAGGTGTCAATGCAAAATGGTGTTTGAAATCAGTGTAGAAACCCAAAGATAATGTTTCATTGACCTGTTTGATTATAAACCAGAACCAACTCACAGCATAAACTCCTGGTTTAGAAAGTCCTCGAGTATTTCTTGATTTCGTACAGTATTAACTGAATTGACACTAGGTCTTTGCTTAATGCAGAGCCACCGTTTATCTTTTTAATGCATTCCGAAAGTCTGGTGTAGTAGAGAAGCAGCTGAGTCAAAGCAGCCCTTAATATATCCATCCCACACAGGAAGTTGCTGAACGATTTGATCACGTCATTGTGCATCAATTCTATGGCTGTTTTCCATCTACTCGCAAAGTCCTTCACGAGAGGCTCCACTTCGGTCACGGTTATGGGCCTCTCCAACACAGCATTTGGGTCCTCGGCTGCAACATAAGTTCAGCAATTTACAATATGAGTTAATCCAGAATCGCACGACTTTGAATAAAACTGATTCCTGTCAATACTTTACAAGAAAAGTGAAGCTTACAGGCTCGGGTTTTCACAAACTTTATCAGGTCATTGAAATGTTCCAAGAGCAATTCTTCCTGGCAAAAGAATAAACAGGGGGTTAAGATATGACATGACCATCACATACCAAAAGCCACATGTTAGGAGCAAAAAAAACTAAACAGAAAAGAGTTCAATTTTCCAGTTGAACTCCTAAAACCGAAAAGGCAACTTTTTCTATTATCACATGTCCAATAATTAATAACTCATTTCAGCAGCGCACAGGATTAAATCCTCACTAGGGTGTTGGTCTTGGGATCAAATCCCATCATTAATACAGTCCAATGCACTATATAAACTCCAATCAGTTGCCCTTTGAAAGAATAAAGTTTGTAAGAGTGTAATGTAAGAGAGATCGACAGATGCAACAACTATCCTTGACTGTACCCTTGGTAGCTGGATCCGATGTCCCAAAATATTCACTAAGCCTTCCAACAACCACCAAAGGAAAGATCACTACGATACTAAAATTTCGACCAGTACATTACCCCGCTCTAGAAAGACTTGTCAAAGGGTACATTTAAGGAGAAACATTTTGCAAAACAGTTCAAATCACAAAGCTTTTTAAGATCCTTCTATCTAGATCAAGAACAAAAAGGGAACATAACCAACAAAAGACAGTTGTTCACACTACTTGTCCTACAAAGCTTGAGTAACTCACCACAAATATAGCAATATTGTTCTTTAACAGATCTTCAAAATATAGGTGGATTTTCCCTACCTCTGGACCTGCTTCCTGAAACCCACAGAAAAATAGACATATTTCAGAGTTTAATCTTCACAATCAAACTATGTTTGATTATATTGAATCTATCTAGACCATCTATGACTTAATCTGATTGCTACAACATTACCAAATACCTACAGAGTGAGAATTCTTTGCCAAGGTTGCATTCATGACAACATGCTTGTTTGTAGCCTCAAAAAAACCATAAAAAAGACGAAAAAGAACCCACAGAAATGGTACCTTCAACACAGAAATTGTCATGTCATAATTGTTAATTAGGAACACTGTCTGCAACTTTGCTTTTGGGAATGTCTTCGCAAGTTTGTTGATCAAGTCATCAATAGCCATTCTCAATCTCTCCAAATTGAGTTCGAGCTGGAATTACAGCAGCGGGAAATGATTATTATGCCATTTTACAAGGGAAATCAATAATAGTAAGGGTCAAAATGGTCTAACCTGACCATCTCCATACTCGACATTCAGGTGGATGAGTGATGCAGTAAATTCTGCATAGCGCCTCATGACATAATGAGGATGGACATCATCTTCCCACAAACTCCTGATGTTTGCATTGCGCATACTACCGAGATGCATGTCAAATACAATCTTGAAACGAGGCCACAACGCGATATTCACCTGCGCATATCCACTCAAGATGGCATCAATGCATCAAGTACAGATCAACACTGTCATATTACATGGTAAGCGTGTGAAATTTGATAAATTAAGAAAATTGTAGAATGACAAGTCACGTATATGGTTGTATGACAAAGTGAAAAGCATTACAAGTAAGAAGAGGATACACACCTTGTCCAAGTATGAATCCAAGCATGGAATTCTACGCCTCGACATTGTAAGCTGGGGAAGCAATGAATAAAATGAAACTCTTTCTTTGGCACCATAGATACATACATATTAAGAATCACCTTTCCTGGATGGAACTTACCTGATGCTGGTGTATAATTCTGATCATAAGCATCAGACCAATTGCATCATAAAAATTTGGAAGGATGGAGTTGAAATGCTCATCAATTACAGCAAATGGCCCTGGGATGTAAACAGAGAAATTAATTAAATAATATAACAAAAAAAATACAGACACACAGAATTAGATTATTATGTGCGCAAAAAAAAAATGTATTTGCAAGCATCGGTTTATGAGATGAAGAATACTTGGTCGGAAAAAAAAAAAAGGTGATATGAGAACACCAAGACTCCAGATAAAAGATACATCGCAAACAATCTCTTTAGAGAAGTTTAGCCAATAGTAGAAACTTGCTTTGTTACAGACATATAAATAAGAAATTATGTGGACAGAAGAAATATCAGGTTCTGGTCTAGATAACAGCAACAATGAAGGAACCAAATCATGCATTTTACAAAAGCACTTATGGTATGAAAAGCTATACCTGAGAATATATCATTAAAAATAGATTCTTCCCCAAAGAATTCGTCACAGAAAAGGTACCTGAAAGACCGGAAGTAGTAGATGGACTTTTAGTCAGAGAATTGTGGTACAGCTGTACATCAAGAAACAGAAAAAGGTAAATTTCATACTCTGATGTTGCGGTATCCATAAGCAGCTTATGCAAGCTTCTGAAAAGGACTTCATAAGGATACTTTTTGGAGCTAGCTTCAGCTATATGAGGTATCAGTGCAGGTTCATCTATTTCCTGTAAAAGTGAAAAGCAAACAATTGACGAAATTTTTCCAAAGAAATGCAATAATCAATTCCAAATTTTATATTTGAAATGACGGTCTCATACTTTTATTTAGTAAAGCAAGAAACATAATTGGAAAAAAAGGTCAAATTTGCTTTTGTTGGGGAACTTAACATAAAAAATATCTATAGCTTTTTAATCTGTAATACTGACAAACAGAGAAAATAGTTTACCCAATTACCTTCACCATGTAGCAAACCTACCAGAAGTTTGTTAAAGTTACAACTATATTAACCATAATTAGAATGATTAACATCGGTTTTTACAAGGTGGAATGATACAGAAAGTGATGGCATAAAACGATGCAGTTTCCATCATTCAATAGAGAGAGCGCCATAAAGTAATATATTAGCAGAACCAGTTCAAGATAGCAATACAATTGAGATATTTGTAATAATATAGTGGACCATATCATTCAACCTTTAGAATCTTTATCCTGTCTCCAAGAGCAAAAACTGCAGACCGATTCTTCAAGGGCTCTCTTCCTATAGAGAACAGACTACTGCTTCTAGCCTCAACACCAATCAAATCACTAGATGTTGCTATATCCAGCTGCAGTTTCTCCAAGGATTGAATGTAAGCACGAAAATGCGCACTGAGGACCTGCAGGTCATAATCGGATAAATTATCAGATGCCAAATGCTTTATGATCAACCTGAAGCTTAAACCCTAACTTGAACAAGTATTCAATAGATTCTGTTTAAAAACCTGTCCAAACAAGTTAATGTGATCTCCAATCAAGGATTCCAAACAGGTGGCGAGGCCGAGTAAGTCTAATTTTAAGATAAAGTTTCTTCATCCTTTATCTTGCATCTTTGGAACCAAAAGGAATGTAACATCTGCCGTTATGGAGTTGAATTCCTTTTGGCTTTATAAATATTCAACAGAACAAACATCAAAGGCTGATCGCTCTTTCAGGTTATTACTTTTTGAATCAGGGAAAAACATGCATTCATTATCTAAAAACGGGCTGTACCTTGTTCATTGTGTCAACATATGCAGCACGAACTTCAAGATACACCTCCTTTCCATGTTCTTTAAGGAATGACGTAATGTACCTGGGCGAGCAAAGCGCTCATGAACTTTGAATCCCAACCCATATATAAGATAATCGAAAGCAATGCAACTTACTTGTACTTTAAAAGAACACCCTGTTGCAAAATCTGGATGTTTGTTTTGGGTTTCCGCAAAGCATAGAGTTTTTGAACCATAAAGTCATAAACCTTCATGGAAAGGGAGAAAATTATGGTATCACAATTGGCTAGATGGATTGCCTCCAAGAAATTTTGAACAACAGGGACTCTCGAAAGCTCTCACAAATACAAAATCTCACATTCAAAGAATTTATGATTATTTTCTACAAGGATACAAGAAACAGAAATAAAAGAATGTAAACAAATTATCAACAGTTCATGTACGATGTTCCAACATTTTCTCGTCAGAAACAAATTATAAACCACTGGATTGCTAAGACTTCCGATTAACATGTCCTCTTTTAAAACTACCATCACATCAAAATTGTGATGATTTTTACTCTGAATCTCTCTGTAACACAGTGATTGACGAAATATAAAGTCAATAAGCATCTAAATCACATCAGTGAGACCATGTTACCTATTGACATTACCTTAGTCACTGCTTTCTGCCGAAGCCTCTCTAATTCAGGCTGAACATCTTTTAAAGCTTTCGAAGTTTTAACTGTAGAATCCATTTCAACAAATTTCAGTTTCTTGCTTAAAATCTCTAGAGTCCTCAGGTACTCATCATTAACCTGCAGATGAATATCAAAGCAAGTTACTGGCCATCAAAAAAGCAAAGACGTGATAGAAGAAAGATATGGTCAATACCATAAGACCAACGCATATGTTTAAACGGAGCGGTAAAGACCAAAAATGTGGCTGTGTCAAACAGTGTACATAACTTAAAGGAAGTAAAGGGGAAACTGTATAAAAACCCAATTACCTCTCCATCAACAATAATGTCGATCATCCTTGGTGGGACAATAATGTCTTCAACAAATTTGGCCAACTTTGACTCTGTTACCTATAAATTGGTTAAAAAACCAATTGTAAGCATGCTTTAGAACTAAGGCAGATCATAAAACTGAGAGTTAGAAGAAGTTCCTATCCAATTGGAATAAGCACATAGTCCACACCTTACGGTTTTTGAGCTTCAGTCCCATGTCCATCGACTTCTCTTGAAGAACTTTTATGTCCGAACTTATAGAGCCTATCTCAGCCTAGGACAACGTGAATAAATACAATCAGAGACTCTGATAAGTAAGAGTTACCAAAAAATAATACAGAGTAATTCATTTTAGCGAACAAGATTGTCATATGGAAACAAATCCCCAGACAATAATCAGTCATGACTACCTCCCGATAGTAAACGCAAAACCTCCAAAACAAGCTGAAGAGGGTTTTCTATTTGCTTTTACCATTAATTCAGAACATTCCCTTTGCATCATTATTAAAGCTCTTAGTCATGATTCTCCTATTTTCAGGAAAAATATCCACAAGAACAAACCAAAACAAACATTCAAGCACTTCCAGAAAACACAAGTATCGCAAGGGAGTTAACACCAAGCAACCCTAAGTCCATTCCTGCCCCAAGTTTGATTTATTACACAACAACCTCAGGCTTTTTCTTACCTTTTTTGTTTGTTTACTTCTTTTAAACTATTCTGACTAAGACCTCATCATGGACTAGAATATGAATTAAGCAAAATATATTGATCTAAACTGAACGGTTGAGGAGTATTTTATCACTAAACGACTAAAAGCTCACAAAGAAATGATAGCTGAAAAGGGGCACAAAAGGTAGCCAATTCAATGAGGAAACAACTTCATCACCGGAAATATCTTCAAATCGCATAAACCCTAGAACTCAAATCAGTACAACATATACATATCAAAAGACAATCAAGAAGATTACAAGATGAAGTACCTGGAAGCCACTGAGTAGGGTCTCCATCTGCGAGAGGATAATGTCACAATCACGAATTTGATCATGAAGTGAGACCAAATTGTCGCTCTCCTTAATGTAGTCCTAAAGGAAATTAGCTCACCATTATAATCCACTTGAGTTTGAGATGAAATAACACTCAGAAACAAATGAACTTTCAGCTTCAGAATAAGCATCAAGCACACCCCCTTTAGTTCACTAGTCCAACCATTGTGTTGAAACGGCACAAATAGCGTAACTCATCCCTACTAGTTCTACCTATAACACAAATCATCTTGACCAATCCCACTTGAACAGTAAATCTAAGTGGTATTTCCATTCAATCTACCCCTCAACCACGTGCATTCCAAAAAATAAAGAAAAATCAAAAGCTCTCAGAGGACATTTCAACCAATATATCTAACACTTTTGTGCTTTCACCAAACAAAGGAATGAAAAAGAACAAGGGGCTATCGGTTCACGCATGCTGAATTGAAATTCGCACATAAAGTGAGAACAAATCCATGAATAGTTTACTAAATTGAAAATGCAGAGTAATAACTAAAGAAAAACTAATAAATAAACAGCGAAAAAAAAGGAGTGGAAGAACAACCTCAATGGAGTCCAATTCGACTTGGCGCAGATTGCTCTCGACACCCTTGGTATATTCCCTAAGTTTTGTGCCTTTGGAAAGAATATCTGCCACTACCTATTCAATTGATTCATTCAGACTATAAACAGATCCAATCAAAACAAGTAAATGCATCTCATACGAATCAATTCAAATGCAGTTGCTGATCAAAGTGGTTTTGACTTACTTGATCGTCCTTGCATTCCAGGAGCTCTTGCTCTAACCCCTCCAATGATATATCCTCACTGCCAGAAAAGAACGAGTCCGATTCAAATCTCAAGTAATTCTGGATTCAAAATCAGAAAATACAAAAAACAATTAGGAATTAAGTAAGAGGAAACAGACCTAGCAGCATCATCAAGGTCGTCGCCGACGCCGGCGGTCAAGTCACCGACGAAGAATCCCAAATCCAACACCGCAGCGTTCTCCTTCTGCTGAAGAATCTCAGGAGTCATTCTCACAAAAAGAGAGCTGGAGTCGAATTTTCTGATGTTTTTTCAGTCGCAATTTCTCTATCTAAGTTGATAGAAGATGGTATCCCGCCATTTTCCAAACTCTACAACTAACTAACTGAATTGCAGAAATGAGAAATCCCTAATTCCCTGCCGGAAAGGATTTATTACTCCGTTTAACTACGTGCCGTTAATATTGCTTTTGAGTAGACTAGTAGTCATATTTCTTAGAATTAGAACAATTTGTATAGAATGTGAATATTTGATTTTTCTAATACAATTACGCAAAAACTAATAAACTAAAATGATAAGTAAAGTGATCGAGTAATATATATATATATATATATATATATATATATATATATATATAAAATATAATATACAGTGAAACGAGACAGTAACTTGTAGAAAGATTAGGGAAAAAAAAAAGAACCACACCAATAATAACTTTACAATTACATTACAATATATATATATATATATAGATAATATACAGTGAAACGAGAAAGTAACTTGTAGAAAGATCAGGGAAAAAAAATCACACCAATAATAACTTTAAAATTACATTACAAAATAATGCAATGATTGTTCATAAAATAAAGTGTTTTTGTTAAAAACAATAAAGCAGTATATTTGTTTGTCGGAGATCCTGTTTCTTGAGGTATGTGAAAAACAGAAACATAAAGAATGTATTCCACACATATTATCGACACACATATCTCAAAATTAATATTAATGGCATTAAAATTAAAGCAGTCTATCGACGTGCTTGTGCATTATGTATACCTTTTCTTACAGAAGAAGATTAGGTTAAAAGCAGTTTTGTTATTATTATTGTGAGAATAGAATCCCAATGAACTCATTTTGGTTTTGTGTACAAGAAAAGAGATTGAAGTAAGAAATAATTATAAGTTCTCATTTATATTTACTAGTTCTTATCCCCGTGTTGTTGACGCTATATATTAAAAAAAATACATTCATAAGCAAAATATTATTATTTATATGTCCTACTGGACCAACTTTACCACTTGTGTCGTCGCCAACCACGTTGGGCGGCAACGATCGTCCGGTGGTGGTGCTAGTAGTGGTGAACGTAGTCCAGTGGTGGTGGATCAGATAAATATAAAAATATTGTTGAAAATCAGTTTGTAATTGAAAGTTTTTTTTTTTTTTGAAAAGTTAAAATTTTATTAACTTCTCAATAACTAACACATTTACAACAGTTCTCTCCTTTACATTCTTTTCAAGATCAAAACAACTAGAACTCAGAATTTAAAACCTCTACTTTCCAGAAACTCTTTTTCACATGGCCTATCTTTCTGACAACAAACAGAGACTCGCCACCTGATTTCCTGCTTGATCTGACTCGATATGACTGCCACACCCACCAACTGCTTCCCATGCTGAACTTCATTCCTGATCCTTCATAAATGGTAAACAACAACAGCTAAAACACTGTACAGCACCCCTTGCTTGCATCTGCTGAACTTCCAGATATTCTATAAGCATCTCCTCCAAGAAGTGATACTTTCAGGCACTCTACTGCAATCCAGCCAGGCCTTCATCTCCTTTAGCAGGGTTCTGGAATACTGGCACTGGAAGTACAAATGCTCCATGCTTTCTTCCTCAACCAAGCACAAGGCACACATCAGAGGTTGTTCAATGTTCTTCAACTTCTGGAACCTTTCTGATGTAAGCAGCATGTTCTTCATTCCCAACCAAAGTATAAAACTGTGTTTGGGAACATTGTACCTGTTCCAAATCCATTCTGCTCCCGGCATTTTGACCCCTTCTCCTCTAAACTATTCATACCCAGTCTTTATAGTGTAATTTATATTCCTGGATTCAGACCACATCCCTTGCAGCCTACCCTCTTTTATCACCTCCCTGATACTCATCAACTTTTTTCCAATACCAGCAAGCACCTTGTGGTGGATTATAGTCCCAAACACTCTTCTCTTTTAGATAATACTCGTGACACCATTTCACCCACAAGTTATCCTTTTTAACTGCAAGATCCCAAATTTGCTTCCCTATAGTAGCTTGGTTCCAATGATAGGTTCCCTCATATTCAAGCCCCCAATTTTCTTCTTTCTGCACGAATCATCCCAGGCTACTAAGGATGTAACTCTACATGTTTCCTCCTCCCCCCCCCCCCTCCCCAAAAGAAATTCTCGACAAACCCTAACCACCTGTGTTATTATACTCTTTGGTAGCAAGAAGATTGATGCCCAGTAAGATGCAGAGCTAACAATACAGAGTTAACTAACACAACCCTACCTGCATAAGATAAGTGTCGTGTGGTCCAGCACTTAATCCTAGCAGTCACCTTATCCACCAGGGTTTGACAGTCGACACCATTCCATTTCCTAGGCGATATAGGGAGACCTAAATATTTCATTGGGAACGTCCCCTCTACTAAAACTAATAATCAATTGTATCTCTTTTTTAACATCTTCAGTAATACCACCACAATACACATGAGATTTTCTTAGGTTGGCTTTCAGGCCTATGGTTTCCGTAAATTCATCCAAAACTTTCTTAACTCTTCTAAAAATCATCAAATTAGCTTTACACAGGATAATCAAATCATCAGCAAAGCAGAGATTTGCAATTATGAGTAAGAAATAAAACCACTCTATACTGTGGGCAATTTTACGCTGTACTGTGTGAATCCTTTCTCCCAGTAAGAACTGCTACTTCTTTCCTCTCTTTTGTCGATACACTTACGTATCTACCATGGCATGACAAATGAAGGGCAAGAAAGTTGCAGCCTAGCCGTTGGTGAAGGTAGTAGGGCTTCGGCGAGTGTGATTGGGGAAACATTGGGAACAAAGTCTATTCAGAAATTAGTGCCGGAGAAGAGCTTCGGTGGGCAAACGCCAGTAAGTAATGCTAATTCTCCTAAGAAATTGATGTCTAATCGTGTAAATTTGTTGCTAGAAGAATTAAGTAATCATAAGATTGTTGCTTTGGGGGTTTAATTGGGGGCTCAGAAGGATGAATTAGGGCAGACGAAAGGTGATCCTAAGTGGTCTAGGTTTAATCTGGATAGAATTGGGAAAGTTCCTGTGAATCTTGAATTTGTAGATCCCACCTTAGTAGCTGATAAGAAGGTCGCTCAAATTACTTGGGATGATGTGGAAGATGAAATTGAGTATTGGCGTCCGTCTGTTATTTGCTACACTTTGGGAGGACATCCTCCTTATCAGGTGATGAATGGGTTCATTAGGAGAGTATGGGAAGGTTTGCAATTGACAAAGTGTTACTACTAGACAATGGTGTGTTTGTGGTTCGTTTTACTAGTATGGAGGGGAAATCAGCTGTACTAGGAAACCATTATCATCTGGATAGCAAACCATTGATAGTTAAGGAGTAGTCAGTTGAAGAAGGGTTCAAATTGGAGGATATCCATAAAGTCCTAATTTGGATTAAACTACCTGGACTACAGTTGAAGTATTGGGGGCCTAATTCTTTGAGTAGGCTTGCTATCACTGTGGGAAAACCTTTAAAAATGGATGAGCTAACAGCCAGCACACAGAGGCTCGGCTTTGCTCATTTATTAGTTGAAATGGAAATTCAGGAACAACTTCCAGAAAAGCTGTGGTTTGTGAATGAGAATGGTGTGATACAAGAGCAGATAGTGGAGTATGAATGGAAGCCAACTCGGTGTGAAGGATGCAAGGGTTATGGCCATACAACAACCCTGTGCGGACAGAAGATGAAACAAGTAAGGTAGTCACAGAAAGTAATTCTTGAAAGGGATTTACTATCAAGGGAAGATGGGGAGTTGAGTGGTAACCATGCAAGTACACCTGGTGGTAAAGAGGTAGGAGTTACAAAGGCGAAACGACAATACAATGAGAATCCATTGACATATTATAGAATATGGGTGGGGAAGGAAGTGCAAGGAGAGGGGTCTAAGGGAATCAAACCCATGAATAATATATGTATCTGGAACATAAGGGGTTTGCTATAGTCCCCTGAAACAAAGAGAGCTAAAGAATTTAGCCTCAGTAAACTATGCGGGAATCATTGGAGTAGGAGAAGTTAAATTAAAGGCTGGGAAAACTGGATGAGATCATGAAGAAGACTTGGGAAGAATATGGCTACAATGGAAACAATGTTAATGGAGGGAGGACTTGAATCTTAGTAATATGGAAAAATGAAGACATACAGATTAAAATACTGAAAAGTGAAGAACAGCTGATCCACTGTGAAGTGATTGACCGAGTTGAGAGACGACAATTTCTTCTGACAGTGGTATATGGTGCTAATGCCAGGTCAGAACGATTGAGTCTATGGAGTGAGTTGATTCAAATAGGGAAAAACACCAGTGAAGCTTGGATATTGCATGGGATTTTACAATGTGTTAAGTCCAGGGGAAAAAGTGGGTGGCCTTCCTTTCACAGCTTCTGATATAGAATACTTTAAAATGATGATAGAGGAGTGTCAGTTGGAACAACTTTTAACACATGGTAGCTGCTTTACATGGAATAACAAGCAAACAGGTGATCTTAGGATATATGCACGATTAGATAGAGTGTTGATGAATGATGTCTGGCTGGCAAGATATGAGGAAAGTTTTGTAATGGTGCTTCCTGAAGGAGTGTCTGATTATTGTCCTTTAGTGATCAGATGGACGTACAATCAATCTCAAACAAAGAGGTGGTTTCGATTTTTTAACATGTGGGTGAATGATGAGGAATACAAAGAACTGGTTCAGAAGGTTTGGCAGCAAGAAATTGTTGGTACAAAGATGTTTCAGTTGGTTCAAAAGCAGAGAAGTTTGAAGCCTGTACTCAAGGATTTAAACAGGAGGAAATTTGCAAATATTGATCAACAGATGCTTGGGAATAAACGAAGAATGGAGGAAGTTCAGAATGCTTTTCAAAGTCAGCCACATAACAAAGAGCTTCATGAGCTAGAACAGGAAGCCATACAGCAATATGCGACTTCTAGTTCAAATGCCTTTAGCTATTGGCAACAGAAAGTGAAGCAGA